AAGGTTGTGTATTTGACCCCCTTCTTTTCTGCCCATGAGGCATAGTCGATGAGGACACCACGGCCTAGAGTAGTCAGTATGTCTCACAGAAGTTGGTCAATGAGGTACAAACCTGTGATACCCTCACGAGCCCAGTGTTGAATACCAATACGGCCATTGGAGCGGTCAAGAATCTCTTCCTTGGTCGTTCCGCCATAAAACACACGCTCCGAGCTTCCCCCTTCAATGGGCGTGGAAAAGTGTCGTAGACCATCCCACTGGCTACTCTGCTCTATCATATCATCAGCACCGCGCAAGCCAAGTTCATGCAGGTCAACAAACGAGGATTCATAACGTAGATGTCATCAAACGCAACACCACCCAAGATCGGCACAACCTTGAACTCGCATGGCTGACGGTTAAAGCAAGCGTACTCGAGCTTTTGCAAGTCCCAACCAAGGTTTACCCGGATGCCAGTTCGGATCTGCTTTGCAGCTGCAGCCACTCTCTCAGGCGTAAGAAGCACAAGTCTTCCAAGACCCTCCTCGCGGCTGCCGGGTTCTCCCACCCACACACGCTTGGGGTTCGGGAGCTCGTCCCAAGACTTTTCCATGTATGAAGGGTCCATTCTGCGCAGATAGATGAAAGACAAGTGTGAGGCTGATGAGTTGAGGGGGGCTCTCCCTCGTGGCGATTTACGAGAGCACTATGTAGTATTTCCCAATGCAGCCTCCTCAGTGGACACGGCTTCAGGTCAAGCCACCTGTCATAACATACCCGCATGTCATCGTCTGACCCGCCTCCTAGTGAGACAAGCCGAGTCTTCAAAACCCCTCATCAGTTGACGCGAAGTAGGTAGCTGTGTTGGTTGTCGAGGAGGATTCGCCTGAGAGAAGGATCCATATAGACAGGCATGTTGTGCGTACTGCGGCAAAGCTCAGGGGAGATGCCTCTTAAACAGGTAGGATCTGCATAAGTATCTCTTTTCCGCTCGATCGACTGATGGCACCCCAGCAGAAACAGGTGGACCTGAACAAGGCCAGGGGTGAACCCAGCTTTCAGGCGCACCAACACAGGCGAGAGCAAGACAAGCAGAGTCAGTGTGCATCAAAGATTACTTCTTCACGCCCCAGGATTGCATTTTAATTACTGCTGCTGTTCCTTTTTCAATTTCTCCATCAAATCTCATTCTTCTCTTCCTTGTCTGTGCTTTTCCCCCCTACTGCCCGTCATATTGCGTCAATCATGCCCGAAACCGGGAACCAGACGAGTCTGTACAACAGGCTTGTCATTGCTTTTGTTGCTCTCGGAGGCACTGTAAGTTTGATGCCATTGTCAATCTTCTTGGTTGAACCATTCGTCGTGTAGACTGGCGATACTAAGACCAGCTTTTAGACTTACGGATATGCCGCTTCCATTATCGGCAGTACCATTGGACAGAAGGGATGGTACAAGTTCTTTGACCTCCCTGAAGTGGGTGAGCCTGGCTACGACACGATAACGACACCAGCCATCGCTACTGCCAATGGCCTCTTCGCAGCTGGAGGTGCCGTTGCTTGCCTCATTCTCATGTGGGCATGTGATTACTTTGGTCGTTTACGAAGCATCCAATTTGGCTGCGCCCTTGGTATTCTCGGCGGAGTGCTACAGGCCGGTGCTCAAAGTCTAGCGTAAGAGTCCATCTTGTGATGAGAGAGCAACACTGACTGTTACACAGCATGTTTCAAGCAGGACGATGGATCATGGGAATGTGTGTAGGCCTTATGGCAACAGTAACACCCATGTACCTCTCCGAAATGTCAAGCCCGTATGCTCGCGGCTGGCTCGTCGGCCACCACGCCATCTTTCTCGTCTTTGGCTACATGCTCTCCTCGTGGATTGGTTTCGCTGTCTACTTTTCGGACAACCAAGACTTTGGATGGAGGTTCCCCCTCGCCGTGCAGGTGGCGCCACCAGTGGTGCTCCTCCTGGGTTCCCCATGGGTTCCACGCTCTCCACGTTGGCTCATGTCCAAAGGGAACAAGGATGAGGCCTGGACCGTGCTTGCTCGTCTTCGAAAGTCTCCCAATGATCCTGAGGATCTCGTCGCCAGGGAAGAGTATTACCAGATTGAGAAGCAACTTCAGCTTGATGCTGAGAAGCTTGCTGCTTATGGAGGTAGCCCGTGGAAGGCGGTGCTGCAGAAGAAGAGTTACCGCAAGCGCATGATCATTGGGTTTCTTACACAGTGGGGTGCTGAATTTGGCGGCCCGCTCATCATCGTGAGTGAAGATCTTTGAGTTGAAGACATAAAACTGACTGGTGACAGAACAACTATGCAGTCATTCTCTACACCAGCCTAGGTCAGACTGGCTACATGCCTCTACTCCTCTCAGCTCTGTGGTTGACCACTGCTGGACTCATCTACAACCCCGGTGGTGCCTGGCTCCACGACAAGGTCAACTCTCGCCGAAAGATGTACATGACTGGCTTCGTCGGCATCATCATCACCACATCCATCTACTGTGCCATGATCTCCCAGTACGCCGGCACTGGCAACAAGGCAGGTAATGCGATTGGTGTCTTGTTCATGTTTCTGTACCTCGCTTTCCAGGGCACATTCTGCAACACAACCATGTACCTATACGTGTCGGAGATTTTCCCGACTGAAATTCGCTCGATCGGCATCGGTTTCTCCTTGTTTGGGCAATTCGCCGGTAAGCAAAACATCTAACAATGCAGTGAAACCCTGCTAACATCCATCACAAGCCACCATCATCCTCCTTCAAACAGCGCCCATTGGCTTTGCGGAAGTCGGATGGAAGTACTTTCTCGTCGTCATCGTCTGGAGTGTTCTCTTCGTGCCCGCGATCTACTTCTTCTGGCCCGAAACTGCCCGGCTATCGCTTGAGGAGATTGGAAAGCAGTTTGGTGATGAGGTTGCAGTGCATATCACCGATGCGACTGCCGAGGAGAGGGCTGCTGTGGATCAGAAGCTGACGCGGCATGAGATTGTCGAGGCCAAGGACAACAAGGCGCTCGATGCTACGGACACTGCAGAGGATATTCAGTCAAGTCGCAGCAGCGATGCTGGGTCCCGGGTTTAGATGTTGATCTTGTGGTTGACTGCCCAGTCGTGTTATTAGCAAGCGTTGATGTCTTTTTGCAGCAACACCTGTGTCGGACCAAGCCCATCACCGGTTGACGGCTTGATATCTCATCTAGACACGCAAACAGCTATGGTACCATCAAGTTGATAGAATGAATGAAAGGATACGTACCAACTCCAACTTCTCAAGATTTCAGCGACTCACATTCTTATCCACATATGGGTCCTCAGAGGATCATCTTACATGCATAATTCAACACTCGGCCAAATGCCCATCATCGATCGCCACGCCAGTGCAATACATCCTTTAGACTCCAACGTTGGATCTTCCCTCTTCCTATCAAGTCACCAACTTGATCCTCATCCTCCTTCTCTGCGGCAGTGGCACAACGTGTCGTACGGGACAGCCGCAAACGTTGCAATGCTAATGTCATCCCGTCCAGGGCTGAACTCCACCCTTTACCGTCCCATCTCCACATATGCCGCATGATACGTCCCATCCAGATCCTTTGGCGGCGGAAAGATTCCAGGGGGTCCTTGTCCTTGTGGATAGCCCTGTCGGATGCATTCATTCCTTCTTTTGTTTTCCCACGCCATATCGGTTCTCTTACGAGTGAACGAGTTCGTTAGATTCCCTGAGGGTTGATTCTAGGCTTGCAGAAGCTGGGGTGAGCGAATGCGAGTTGGTTACGCAATGGTTTCTGTTTCTTGAATCTCGTAGGAGCTTTTCAGGCAACTCACCACACAGCCCTGTCCTTGCCACTTCTGATCCAGATTTATGCATCACACACATCTGTGCACTGTACAACAAAGCCCCCATGCACACCGGGAGGATCATGATCTTCAACCACGGGTTTCAAGATCCCTGTAAGCATAAGGACGATCATGCTCCGTGGGTTGCCTCGGAAGTCGATCAGTCAATTCCCGCGAGAGGCACAAGATGGCACCTCTTGGCGACAGGGACCCTTACGTACCGCCCGGGACTTGGGTATCTCTTTGACTGCGCGAAGACTCCCATTGGGTATCTTGCAGGGATCTTGGCCAATTACGATCAATATCTCCGTACCCTCACTCAAATTGAGATATAGAACTAACACGTTGCCACTAAGCTAGCAAGTGTCTTAGATAGTGACCTAGTAGTGGGGACTGGTACCGTGTGGGAGTCTTCGCGCAGTCAAAGAGATAGCAACCAACACGTTTTCTGAATTTCCATTACATTCTCGTATCGGCTGTTGGTGCTTGGGTACCCAAGACTCGTCATGCTAGTCTGAGACACTCCTGAACATCGAGAAATACCGCCCCCTGAGTGGCATATCACATGCCGATTAAATGCGTTGTTGAGATGGTGCGGCCGCCCGTAAACTTCGAGGTTGACTCCAACGATGGGCAAGTCCTCACTCGTTAGAAGACAGTAGCACGGTTCATGTCGCGGATCTCCCCCAGAGCACGTTCCCCAGCGTCTCGCGTGATTTCGAAGTAGTAGTAATGGCAGGCATCAAGCCTGTGATGGTTCCTGGGAGTTGGCTCGCATGCAGTCTAGGTCGTGTTCTACCGCTACAGCGAGTCTCATGGCAGGCTGTTTCTGAGCAGTGCGATTCTGCAGGGAACATGTCTTCTCCCTTCTCCCCCCTCCTTCGCTTTGTCTTTCCTCCCCCCGCGGGTCTTTTTGTTGGTCACAGTCCAAGATGCCTGCAGAGTGTGAAATGGACTCTCTCCGGGTTCATTACATACGGACTCACCTTCATGATGACGCCTCTCGGTCGCAAGGGCAAAGTGCGTCAACTGGGCCGATCTTGATCCCGAAACCCCAGTACCTTGGGTTCCGGCCTCAGTCGCGGGCTCGTGGAGGATGCTCCTCACCAACCACCATAACCTTGTCAGATTAGTCCTCGGTGGCCAGGACTACCAGGTTTGTGAGCTTGAGTTTGCCAGTTCACGAAGCCCACGTGCTTCCGTCTCTCACTGCACAGTTGGCCTCCACGCTGTGCACACAATCATCTTGATGGAACTGGTCGTCCTTGTCCACAGCGGCCCTCTGGTCGGCCACCTTGATCACGCCCATGACCTAGGAAGTTAACATGTCGGATATTTCTGCCACCTTATCGCCCGCCTCCGAACTGGGGTCGCAAATGAGGTCTGGGGCTTCCTCTGTCGCAAAGATACTTTCGCCAAAGCCTGACAACGTACCTGAAAGATCATCTCATCTCCGATTTGGCTATCTATTATCCATCTGCCTCTCCGCGACAATTTCGTCTTTGCCATGTGATGGCCCCATGGCGTAGTAGTTGTTAGGTAAAAGCGTCGATGCTGCAGGGAGGGGCTGCTGAACCGCCCCACAGGTCTCACAACATCTGCACAAGATGCACAAAGTGTCATTATGCACACACAGTGTCAGTTGTCAAGTAACATTCTACCTGGGGAAAAGGGAGGGGTTGGGTAACACCCGGACAAGGATCGGGCGGGAGCGAGCCGCCTCAGAGCGAGCTGTCAGGGGTCAGAGGTACTTTCATTGACTCAATTGGACTTGTGCAAGGACAATGCCAGGCTAGCTTCTTATGATCGACAGAGCCGAGGTCTCGAACCACCACATGACACTGCCGAATCTTCACCTACCCTACATGCACTGAAGAACACAACCGGAATGCGGTTTCTAAAGAAACGGATCATCTATTACAGCACACGGGCTCCTGTTTAAGACAAATTGTTTGTTTGTTTTAGTGCTGTTAACTTCGTGGTACAAAGGCACAGGTACGTAAAAGGACCACCAAACTAGCTGGAAATTGGTTGTCACAAACCAGCGACTATCAGTCATGAGCTGAATACACAACTCATCTATGCATTCAGGTTAGTATTACTAGTAGATGAACAAAATCTAGTTATTTAAACGAGATTTAACTCTTGCCTCTTTATATCAGTTGGGAGAATAGGATATGCTGAGATTCCACTTCCATAAAAGCCACATAGGAAGAGCATTGCTGGCTAATCGAGCAAGCCAGACACCACGAGTCGTTGAGTTAAAAAACGGAACTATGAGACTCGCTCTATACTGAAAGCCAAGATGAGCAAATGGCAATTTGTTTGTCTCAAATTCACGAATTCATTATTCTCAAGTAGTGATTATCAGCCCGAGGGTCATGAGGCCTCGGCAGTGTCACTGCGCTCTTGAATTGGGCTACTAAAGGAAGCGCTTGTTTAGGACATTTGTGGCAGTCATTCAAGATGTCAAACTTGTGGTCATGGTGGCATTTCTGCCTGATGATTTTTGACATTCTTCTCGCACGCCTGTACAGCGGGCCGTCACTGCGTGGAACGTCACTTGGCTATCGTTTCTACAAACTTGGCATTTGATAAAGGCTACCTTATAAGGTCGTTGTGTGTTAAATTTCGTCCCTAATCACCGTATTCATCATACTCGGCCGAATACCTCAACACTCCGTGTTCGCGCTCTATCTGGCTCTGATATTGAGGCCGCTTCTTGCAGGCTTGTTTGTTCTAAACAACATAAGTATAGAGTTACATCGATACCGAACTTTTAGTTGATTATACTACTATGGATAAGCCTGTTTAAGGATCTGTTTAGGGGTGTCGTAGTTGGCTAAATCCATTCACTTAACTGAGTCACCATGGCGAATATTTTCTTCGTTCTGGGATAGTCATTTACCAGATCATCCCCCGGAAAGCCCAGCGTACTTCTCATGGGAGCGGCCTTTTCTGAGTGAAGGGAGAGTGGTTATTTGGCAAGTAAATATGCCATTCCTGGGAAGCGAGTCGCTCATGGCTCGTGAGATATTCATATTGCCCTCAGGTTAACCTTTTTCATGCCTGACATCGAGAAGGATTATTCAGACGAGAAGTGTGATGAAAAGGATCTCCATACTCCTATATTCAAGTAAAAACTTCAACTACATTTAGCTTATGCCGTGGCCCTCCATTCAATGTTCTCGGCCAACATGTTAATTTGCGTCAAGGCGTTGAGGATATCACACATTGTGAGTCTGGATGAATACTCCAAACTCGACTACAATAGACCGCCAGTCCTGACTGATCAGCCAGAACTTGGCCTTGTATGAGCAGCGAGTGTTGGCATGTCCGAGATTATTGCTGCATTGTTTGAGGATACCGGCTCAACGTCACAGTACGAATAGTGCTCTACAAAGACACGGATTCGTCCCCAATTACTAAAGTCTGTCCAAAGACTGTTCTCTTGTTGAGCCACTAATGCCTATTGCAACGGCGGGTTAGATGGAAGCTTTTTGTGACCCTCATGTCGACATCAACCACAACAAAGAACAACGTTATGGATACACGTCGGCATTGAGTCTCAATGCCACAGAGGTTCAAGATAGCTGAACAATTTTAAGCAACTTGATACAAGACCAAGGCAATGGAGAAAAAATCTAACTTGAAGCTAAACAATCGGTGATTTTATTCAAAATAAAATGGTAAGCTAGTCGATTAATCACAAGTGTGTGGGTGTACATGTATTTATAAGGAGGAAAGAAATAAAAGAGTGAGAGTAGCCGTCTATTCTTTCATGTCTAAACACTTGAGTAATGCAATAATCTTTAATTGTTAAGTAGTGAAAAGGTATTTCATCATGTCGATAGAAACCATGACAATGAGAAAAGAAGTCAGCATCGTTGAAGAGGCACTGCAAAAAAGCAGACTTAATGCCCAAGAATCGAGATAGTTTCCATGATACAATCGACCACCTGCCCGTCTGTATTATTAAAGACTCCTTAGGCTCTAGTTTCCATGACGCCGTGCCTACAAGAAACTCAATCAACAATCTCGCTCTGATCTCGTCCAAGGGAGGGCCTTCCCGTGTTTAGTAAATCTTACAGAGGTGCCAGCACACAATCCACATACTGACCGCTTCCTGCTTCTTTCACTACATATGTGCGGATCAAAAGATACCGAAGTTCATTATTCGGCTGCCTAACGCGCCCATGGTTGCATTTGAGCCAACGTCAACGTAAACAAAACAAAAGGCCCTTTGCGGCTGTGCCAGGCTCGCACTAATGAACCAGCAATTCTTCGCTTAAAACAGGGCGCCAGGTGCTGGCCATTACCCCATCGAAAAATGCGATCCCCGGATTGGACTCGCATTGCATCCCTATTTGGGCCATGTGGCTATTGACAGGTGGGCGTCGATCCCGTCCACCAATCGGCATTCTTTGGGCATGTTGTGAATCAATGCCTAACCGCTTCTAGAGAATGTAGGGTCTATCATGAGATACTTTTCCCAAATGAATTGCGCCTCACCGCTATGATCTGACTTGAATCCATGACTAAGGCTGGGCACCGCTAATTGACGAGAAATGGTTCGAGAATTCGCATTGCAAAACCAGCCAGAGTTGACAAGACCTTGCCTGCCCTCTTAAAAAATGGCCAAATCTTAAAGACCACGATTCTTTCTTTTAATTTAAGGTTAAATATATAGGATGAAACTGCTCTGTTTGGTGTTGTGGTGTTGTGTTGGTCGTGAGAGGTCATCCTAAACTGGTAATCGCCGAGCAATATTTCTGCACGCCAAGCTTAACGGGGAGTTGGACACCCTGTCCTCTGAAATAAAGTGCTCACCAGATCTCTTGAAGAGGGTCTCTCGCATGCATCTCAAGTCTGAAGCTGATCGCTGTCATGGCACATGTCTGGGCAGAGGTCGTACTCGCACAGCTTGCCATTAGAGTCTAGGCAAAATAGCTTAGGGTTAGAAATGACTTTTTAAGGAGACATCTCTGTTGATGGAACGTGCAAACCCTCTTAACCATATCAATTAAAGACCATTATTGGCTGCTCTGCGCTGATGACGAGGGCTGCATGACAACAGAAGCTTTGACAGACGACAACAAAATGAAAACAAAGAGCTTTTACGGCTGCCTTCCAAGGATGGCAGGATTTTTGGGGTTCTTGGCAGATGAGATAATTATAAGACCACTTTGATTGACCGGGATACGAGAAATCAGACCCTGTCAATCCTTCGCGGCCAGGCTAACTGTTTTAAAGTGTCAAGCTGAGGGCTAGGCTGCCGCATTATTGGTGCGCCCTACGGCTGCAACCGAGTTGACACACCCGACGACAGGGGCAGACAGCGATCAGGAGGATCTTGTTTCGATTGCATTGGCTTGCGGGTTCTAGATCTTTAGCTCGTATGTCGGGTTACGCGTCGCCACGGAAACATGAATCCGCTGAGGCTGTGAGGAGGCGGGGCCCTTGTTTTTGCGGGTGCCTAGAATGAGGTTATTCAGGCCATGTTAGCATCTCGCATGTTAATGCCTATTTAATCCTGCATGATGCCTTAGATGTAAACCACACTTCTACAGTCTTCTCACTGCATTCACACCGCTCTATTCTACATACATCAGCTCAACAGTCCCCAAACAACCATTTACCCAAAATGTTCACCAAGACCGTCTGCTCTCTCCTCGTCCTGGCCTCGGCCGCCCAGGGCTTCAAGTTCACGGGCCCCGAAGGCGACACCCTCGACGTCACCAAAAACATCACCATCACCTGGAAGCAGGAGAACAAAACCACCGAGAAGGAGCTCGGCCTCTTCTGGTACACCAAGCCCGATGACCTTTTGACGCTCAGCTTCGAGATCGGCTACAACATCAACATCTCCGCCGGGGAGTACGTTTGGTCACCGACCGACAACACACGCAAGGAGTTGGGAAAGTACAAGGATGCTCTCACTAAGAAGAGCCTCTTCCGCTTCCAGGCTGAGCTCCGTGATGGAGATGAAAAGAGTCAGGATGATGTTTTCAGCGACAACTACACTCTCACCGGAGTGGAGGAGGTTGAGGCCAATGCCGGATCGGAGATGATGCCTACCTGGGGATTGGTTGCTGGTGGGCTTGCTGCGGCTGGATTGATGATGGCCTAATGGGATTAGCACCATTACCCTTGCATCTGTGGGGATCAGGGGTGGCTGTTCAATGTCAGGGATTCTGGACAAGTTCATGAGTTCTTCATAGGAGGGCAATTGCTGTACTGTTGGTCACCTCCATTTATCGAAATCCGACATTGATTGAGGAGTTCTTCTGGTCAACCGGGCTTGTTTCTTGCATTAATTTGGATGGGTTTTTAGCCGAACGATGTATGTCTACAACCTAATGATGAATGATTATCGACACCAATTAAAGCGAGGAGTGAATACAAAGGAAATGTGTTTTATTATTAAAGTTGGAGCCCGGCCCTTCATGGGTTAACTGAACCAGAAGGTCGAATACAAAGGACTTGGAAGATGTTGGTCTATGAATTACTCTAGGAATTATCTGCTAAGTGAAATATAGCTGCAGTGACTGGCAACAAAGAAAATGTCTATATGCGAAAGATCTGCTGGACTGAAAACCGCTGCAAAGAAAACCACCCGATATCAAACCAACGCCAACACCTCACTACTTCAAAACACTCAAGCCTTCTTCTTCTTTCCCATGTTCCACTTCTTGACGCGGAACAAGTAATAAGAAACAACAGCAACAAAGATATTAAACACAATGTACACCCAAACGATGCCGAAGTTGCGCCAGCGTTCGCTGTTGTAGATGTTGCTACCGGCCATAAATTGGTCGGCGTTGGTGAGCGAGCAGTAACTGCAGTTCTCTCGGGCATCTGGATTCTGAAGCTGTCCAGGTGCCATCTTGAGGTAGTCGGTCATGTATTCGCCACAGGTCTGGTTGTCGGGTGGGTTGAAGATGGATGTTTCGGCCGCGGAACAGGTGACGGCTCGGCCAGCCAGTTGGGTGGAAACAATGCCTGCAACCCAATAGGTGAAAGGACTGACTCGGTACATGAAGATCCAGAAACCGGGGAGGGCTGTTGGGGACTGCATGACACCACAGAAGGTCAAGGAGAGGAGAACCAAGAGAGTGACGATTCCAGAGGCAGTGAGTGCGTCGGGAAGAGCGGCGATAGTCATCTGGGCAAAGGAGGAGGCATAGAGAAGGAGCTGGATCATGAATAGAAGGACGAGGCCTTGGCGGGCTGAGCTTTGGATACCGACGATGGGGTAGTAGAATGTCGCAAAGATGAGGATACCAGTAAGGATTTGATAGGGAATTTCGACGATGACGTTGGCGATCATGAAGGCTTTCCAGGAATAGGCCTTGCTAGGGCGCTCGCGGACTTCGTAAAGGGAGCGTTGGGTGACGAAGTGAGGTTGGATCTAGAAATTGTTAGCACGAATCTGGAGTAAGGGCTATAAGGAAGCTTACCTGTTGAACGATGGTAGAGAAAATGGTGATGATCATGAAAACCGCAAACAAAATGTTCTGCATGCCAGCAAGAGTACCATCAGCCTTCCAGAAAGAAAAGCCAACAAAGAGACCAGCGATAGTTCCGAGCATGAGCTTGGACAGGATGTACGATGGCATTCTCCAGTATTGCTGGAAAACTCGAACCGTCACCTCCCGAAGCTGATCAGCAAAAGGCATGGCAAACTCAGAGTGGCTATCAGCGGTATCTTGGTTGCCTGAAGGGTTCGGCTTTTCCATGTGGATTCGATCAACTTCAGCGTAAACGTCGGCTCGCTCTTGACTCGCCTTCCACACGCTGTGCCAATCTTCACCAGAAGCGTTGGTACCGTTATTGACAATCTCAAGCATCCATTCAGCGGGGTTCTCCTCGTCTCCACAAGCCCGGGCGCCGTTGTTCTGGAAGTAGGTGAGGAGCTTGCGAGAGTTGGCACCAATGTCGCCGAAATAGACAGTCTTGCCACCACGAGCCAAGAAGAGCAGACGATCGAATTGCTGAAAGAGGACAGCACTGGGCTGATGCACAGTGCAAAGAATAGCCTGACCCGCATCCGCAAGCTTCCTCAAGAACGCAACAATAGCCCAAGAGCTCTGAGAGTCAAGACCACTGGTTGGCTCATCGAGGAACAGGAGGAGCTTTGGCTTGGCGGCGAGTTCGACGCCGATTGTCAGAAGCTTGCGTTGCTCCACGTTGAGGCCTTCACCGGGGACGCCGACGACTGCGTTGGCAAAGTCTCTCATGTTGAGCATGTCGATGACTTCTTCGACCCACTTGTGCTTTTCTTCGGTGCTGACGGACTTGGGCTGGCGGAGCATGGCGCTGAAGCGGAGACTCTCGCGGACGGTAGAGGTGTCAAGGTGAAGATCTAGAAAATGATTAGTACTAGGTGAGAAAGCGGAGGAAGAGTCAGTTCTTACCCTGCTGCTGAACATAGCCAGTCTTTCGCTGGAAACTGGCGTCCAGGGGTTGTCCATTGACGAACAGATCACCAGTGATAACACCCATAGTAGTTCGCTGAGCGAGCACATCTAAGAGAGTAGTCTTTCCAGCACCACTCACACCCATCAGAGCAGTAAGAGTACCGGGCTTGACCCATCCAGTAACGTTATCCAAAAGCCTTCTGGGTTCACCCTTGATCTCAATGTCATAGACAAGATCCTTCCAGGTAAAGATATCAGTCTGTGGCTCCATGGCGGGAAGAGTTCCAGCATCCGAGTCTCGGGACACGGCGAGTTCCTCGTTGACAGCGCTCCTGTCGACACCGCCCTGAAGGTGGGCGGGAACATGACCACGCTGGAAGACGAGAACCTCAGCCTTGCTCGCGGTCTTGGAGTTGAGCTCAGTCGCGACAAAGTATATGATCATGAAACCGATGAGGAAAGCGAAGAGGATGCCGAGGTTGCGCCAAACATGCGAGTAGTAGTACTTGTAGTTGGTCTCGATGAAGGAGTCACCGTTGACAGTGTACTCGCCAGCCACAGCGCCCACGGCAGAACAGATCCATGAGTCACCGGAGAGGGGTGTGTATGCTGGGATGATGGACGAGCAGGTGAAGTTTCGGCCGTGGAATTCATTGGCGATGAGGATCTCGAAGCCATAGAAAATCGGGTTGATCCACCTGTAGAAGATTAGCTATTGTTTTGACGCAAAGGTGTTGTTACCACTCACCTGATCCAACTAAACCAGTCATGCATCTGAGGCACACGAATCATGAAACCAGTGTAAATAACAAGGGCCAAGACCATGACACCAGCAAGCAACATAGCTTGAGAAACCGTCTTTGTGATGGCAGCGAGAGTTCGAAAGATGGCCGACATGACAAAGGTGCAGAGATACGTGATGAGGAAGTAGAGGAAGAACTGGCCAGGCTCCCGGCGCAGTCCAGCCATGAAGTAGAGAATGATGTTGAAAACGGTTCCCGTGATGAACTTGATCGGTATATCCGAGACAATACCTGATATGGCTTCGGCAGCTGGGTGATAAAATGCGTAAGAGGCGTGTTTCTCAACAATGGGTCGTTGTTCGTAGAGGTTGTTGATTTCGGAAATAGCAGTGAGAGCGTTCATGAGAATAGCCATGAAGAGAACAGCGCCCTTCGAGTAGAAGCCGACAGTTGCATCGGGGGTGTCGTAAAAGACAGAACCGATAATGAGAGCCATGATGATGTTGGTGGAGACACTGGTTGCTGTGGCAGAGAGATCGTTCCAGATGCGTTGGTAAGCTCGCTTGGTGGTGAGCTTGATCTGAGTTGCCAGGCTGATGATGTAGGGAGACTTGGGGCGGACGTGCTTTGCTTGTCTGTGAAGTTGTTAGCCAGGAGTTGAAGCAATGTTGAAATTTCATGTACATACCGTAAGTTCTTTTGTTCTCTCAACTCTTGAATGGCACCAGACCTGGGATCGATGGGAAACTCCTGCTGGTACAGCTCAATCTGCTCCTTCAGAGCCTTGTACTCAGGAGAGTTGAGCCAATAAGTCTCAAACTCTTCAGGAGTACGAGGCACCCGGTTCTCCATACCCGGTCGGATCTGACGCTCCTGGGGGTTGGTGACAGAGGTCAGGAAGTCGCCTGTGGTCTGGCGCTGAGGGCAAAGCCAGCCCATTCGCTCAAAGTAGTCCTTGGCCTCAGCTGCGGGACCAAAGTAGATCTGTCGGCCTTCGTACAAGACGACCGCCTTGTCGAATAGGTCGTAGATGGCTTGGCTGGCTTGGTAGATGGCCATGGCGTGGGCGCCGCGGGTATAGTCGGCAGCTAGACGAATGGTCTGGGCAAACTTCAAAGCTGTCGCCGAATCCAAACCGCGTGTACTGCAAAATGTCAGTAAAAGGAAAACCACTCTGAGGGTTTTACTAACCTGTTGTCCCATGCAGCCAGGGGCGACTGCGCGAGGATCATCTCCGCGATACTCACACGCTTCCTCTCTCCTCCCGAGACACCACGGATAAAGTCGTTGCCGACCTTGGTGTTGTAGGTGTGGCTGAGACCACAGACCGCCATGACAATCTTGGTCGCAATCGTGCAAGACTCTTCGCGGGACTGGCCGATGAGAAGGGCGCGGTTGGAAGGCATGCGGCAAGCAGCTGCGAATTCGAGGGTTTGGCCGACGGTAAGATGGGGGAAATGCTTGTCGACCTGTTTGACGAAAAGGTTAGTTGGAGTCTAGAACCGTTGATGTCGAGATACTTGCCTCTTGGTTGTATGTGGTCTCGCCCTTGAACTCCTTCATCATATCCTTCTGAGAGATGCCGTTGTAATGGATATTCGATGACTCTCCAATGCCTAATCCCTCGAGTTCACCAGTGATGGTCTTCAGCAGCGTGCTGCATCCCGAACCAGGTCGGCCCAGAACAATCAGCAGCTCACCACCGCGAAGAAGACCATCAAATTGATTAAGAATCCTCTTCGGCTCCTTCTTTCCAAAGCTGAGATGCTCTCCAATGCGCATCGGGGCTTGGATAACGTCGGCGAGGGTCTGTTGAAGCTGAAGAGCAGCGCCAGTGCCTGAGACACTGAGATCCTTGTAAGCGACACCCGCGGCCTTGAGACTCACGCCCCCTTCTTGGAGTTGTTGCATGAAATGAGGTAGCCATTGGGCAAGGTCGAAATCTTTGCTGGTAGGGTCCAAGGCAGGATCTTGCGCATCAGGAGTGAGATCGGGGATACCAGATGAAACAGCAGCCAAGCTTTGTCGTCGCTGTGAGATTGAAGTAGCGATTCTCTGAAGCTCCTGACGATCTCCCTCCTCAATCATCATGGTATCCCTCTGCGCGCTGTGAAGCCGCGTGGCCATACTCAGGGAGGCATCGCTCATAGTTCTGGTTCTGACACCTGATCGGATAGGTGCAAATTCGACGTCGACAGTCGGACTGTCTGATGATCTTCGTTCGGTCATGGTGATTGGAATGACACTATCCCCGTAAAGCTTGTAATTGAGGAGAGTGTCTGTGGTTGAGTTATCCCATAATCCAGGGGCCAGTGAACATATAAATAATATTAATCTCTAGCTAATAAACTACACGTACGTCATCTTGTCAATCAAGGGTCGGGGTATCGACGAACCCGACGAATTCTATGGAAGCGGGAAATTGTCAAGACCGTCGAGCAAAGCTTGTGTGAGCTTCAGGCCGCGGACACCGAGACTAGAGTCTGCACTGTCGGGGTGTTGGGCACTCCCCGAATCCGCCAACAGCATAGCGTTAAAGCCGGGGCCCGTTCGCTTCCCCAGAAGGAGGGTGACTCAGCGGAAAGCCATCGAAAACGGCTTGGGGGAGAAACGCACTGAGACAAACGTCAACAAACCGGGTACGAGGGAGAGCATAGCCACGTAGACGCTAATCTACGGCCACCTCATGCGTCCGCAACCCGAGCCGTGCTATCAATGCCATACCCTAGGGCTGACGGGTCTTCGTTAAAGTTCTGCCAGGGTCGGGGAGTCGGGGGGTGGGAGGAATCCGAAAGAGATGACGGCAGATGTTAGCGCGATTCCGCATTCAGAATTCTCAATTGCCGCTTAGTAAGAGGAGGAATTGACCGTTCGGCCGGACTGTGGGACTGATATAAGGTACATATTTTTCTGCCACGTTTCCCCATTGATTTAAGTACTCTATAACTGCAAGTGAGAGATCATCCCCCGGAACCCTCACAATATGCACAATGATGAGGCGCTCAGAATGAGCGGAAGGCCGGATGATTTTCATCTTGCTCCCTGACAAAAGCTGTTGGGTTGTGTTGCCACACGCAAACGGGTAGACTGAAATCCCCGATTGACGTTCTTGGTGCCAGTCTTTGGCGCTCAAGCGTTGACAACGGCTAAAAGCCAAGGTAAACAGACCAGTCGATCTAGTCAGGAATTTGATCCAAAGTTCTGTCTCACCCAGTAAATGAGACCAACGGCATATGAACGCAACGGCATATGAAATGCACGTCCCTCTACTCGCAAACAGGCAAGACCCTTGACCCAACACTTGTTCTAGACCTGGCCTTCAGCTTGGGACATTCTGCTCGACAAAGGCATTTCCCTGTGCGGTTAGGAGCTGTCCCTGCAGGGCCACCAATGAGGTTAATACGAGAAGAGGCTTCATTTGAGTTTTGTTCGATGTGATCTGCATGCAATCACATTCTGGTATCTTTGTTGGTATCTGGCGGGCATTTTTGTGACTGGTCTGAATCAACACCATCATATCAGACCATTTCTAGCTACTAGCAAAAGGGCAAGAGAGAGTTCAGTAATTTCTGCTAAGATCTTGGCGCGGCATGTTTAGGGGCATCACTCCAATCTATGGATGGATCTGGATAGCATCCAAGCTGATTTTGACAAGATCATCGCTCGTCTTTGACGCTAGAACAAAACTGATATGTAGAGGGGGTCCAAGGGCACGCTAATAGTGAAGACATTCTCAAAGTTGGATCAAAACAAAAGATCCAAGTCGGTTGGTTGAGGCGGGTCATTCCGACAATTGATCTTGAAGCCAAAGACAGACTGCCGTGTGCAGCATGGATGGCTCAGTCCAACGCCTTGCACCTTGAAATTTCTAATTATAATATTAGGTAACACCTTTCAATTTTCCCCTCCGAGGTTGTTTCATTCCGTGGCTCCGATTTGCACTCATGTGACATGGTTCTAGCCAGCCAACAACACCACCCACCACTGAAAAACATCCTGAAGTCCGCATTCTACCACATCATGAGAATATATCAGTCAAAAGTAACAAATTCCAAAGCTCTATCAAAGCATACGATAGTGGTCGGCTGATTATGACGACTGTCCTGTTTAGAAAAGACCGACTCGGTAAATTCAACTCGGACGCGGACGGGCATCGGTGATTTCGGCCAATCAAAGGCAGACTTACTCCGATACGCCCTGAATACTCCGTGCTGATGAATCAAACAACTTGAGATATAAGTATCAATGAAATTGTTCTATAGTGATGGTTTTTACGCCGTAGTCTTTTGTACTTGTATAATCCTCCAAGACACTAAACTGAAAAATCCTCATACTACAACGCAAAAATGGCATATGTACCATCACCTGTCCAGCCCGTCGCAAGGTCACCTTACTCGATCCCCGAGTCTCCATCTTCTATGTCAGAGACTTCAACCTTGCACGGTGTCTCCGAGAAGGAGGAGTAGGTCACTTTTGTTCATTTGATGCGCCAGTACAAGTCCTCACCACATATCGCAGGCTCAAAGGCACGTGCCCTGTTCACGGAGCTTCGCAGACACCTCATCTCGAAACAATGTTGCAAGCCCGCCCAAAGGCCGAACTGCAACAGCTCACGGCTGCTCTCAATGACTTGGCCGATGAGAACAGGTGCGCCAAATGTGCCGTGCAGACCATAACCAGCATCGTGATGGGATATGTTCAGGATGTTCGCTGGGCCAAAAAGAATGGCAAGTGGTCCAAGGAAGACAAGAAGGCACTGAAGATGGAGATCAAGGGGTTGGCCAAGGGTGTCAAGGCAGACATCAAGGGCCGTAAAGCGGAGATGAAGAGCGAAATGAAGAGCCGCTGATGCACCATTGCACAGAGTTCTTTCAATGGTCATGGCGAGTTTGTATAAGATGGGGAACAGATTGTTACTCCTATCTAGTTCACTTGTGCATCTTTGTCACCTTCAAGTACACGATCAACGTTCCTTAGACACTCCTCATTGCTAGTATTGTGTGTGATAGAGATCTTAGCTCGTTCTGTAGAAGCGGTGAAATACAGCGACTTTGGCGGGAGTTTTCCAGTACATAAAAGTAAGAAACTCCTTTCTGGGTTAAGCAGACGCGAGCTCAGGTCATTAATGCTAAAGGCTACCTGGCTGTAAACGCAAGACAACTTTCGTCCTAGATGCATCTTGCTGTAGGGTAAACTGGCGGACACGAGATAATCAACCAGTGACGGCATTTCCCCAACACTTAATTAGCTACAAATTTGGAGGCGATAAAAATATTCCCTCGTAAGGAGTATACCATGGATTTGAGGCTGAAAATTTGTCTTTTATAGACTCTCATCTTATTGAGGTCACTTCATGTTTGTTTTCATGGAGTCTTGGAAAAGACATGAGGGAGAGGAGAGACGCGAGTCGATCGATCGAAGGCCAAAGTCGCGATTTGATTGGTTGTGATCTCCGGAAGCTTTGCTCCGTCAGATCCGATTGGCCCAGGAACGAGAAAACGAGACCGAAAAGGCTCCCCTGCACGTGCTCTGACACCTGAAACATGTGAGAAAAGCTTAGTCATTCATATCCGTCAATGAGTGGACGAAATCTGAGATGCCTGGCCTCCTACGTCATGACAAGATTTTGCAGGGATACCTCATCTTGACTGCAGAAACCGGTTCTTTCACACCCTGTCTGCCCGCGTATGGCTGTCGGTATGACGCGCTCCTCGTCATCTCCGCAGTTGAGATCCTGTTTGTAGCATGTAGCCATAGAACAAAAGAACACTTCAGTCTCCGCAACTCTGTCCAAACTAGCCATATCCTTTCAACCTCTTCCATATCCCCACAGCCACAATCATGCCTCCAGCCCCGACACAGGTAGCTAGAGAAACTCTGTTCTAGGGGATAACTTGGATAAGTGACTGACACAAGGCAGGACGTTGAACAGCGCGACGGTCTGTCTGATGACAGCCAAGACACCGGCGCCAAATACGAGGAGGAGGAGGCGCCTGTGAAGAAGGAGAAGACCCGCAAGAAGACCAAGAAGAACAAGGTCGAACGACGCAAGAGGCGGTCCATGTTTACCGACGACGAAATGGATATGGGCATGACGCAGGGAAACTGGGGTATGGGGCAGCAACAGCAACCACAACAACAACAAATGCAACAACAACAGCCGCAGCAAGGCGGTGGTGGAAAGAGTGATGCGCTCAGTCTGCATCTCGAGTTGAACCTCGAAATTGAGATTCAGCTCAAGGCGAGGATCCATGGTGACCTTACGCTCACATTGCTGTAAGCTTCTGTGCAGGAATTGTCGTGCACCACAGCTGACATTCTCCCAGGAATTAGAGGGATCATGGGACGATGCGTACAAAGATGGGCATCAACATGGCTGGGCATGTTTTATATATACCTTGTTCGCCCAGGTCAGAATTGTCTGGCTACGATTTTCATTTACGACAGATGGAGAGTCTACTCCTCCAGGAATTTGCATTTGGTTTCATCATATTGGCCCTGCAGGTTTATTTAGCTTCATTTAATCTCAATTTCACTTTTCGATTGTGGCACAATTAGTTTTCGGACAAAACTGAGTCTATTATTGTCTCTACCTATCTACTTTTCGCAGCTCATGAGCTGTGGTTCATTCCTATTCATTCCTTCGGGCTGCAGCTCGTCAGCTGCAGCCGGGGCAGTGTTTATTAACTCCCCAAATTTCCCTATTGTCCTTTTCTTTTTTGTGTTTTTCTTGATTTTTCCGTCGCTGGACTCAGTCAGCTCGCCGTTCGTCTTAGGTATTCACCAGTGCGGTCCCGTATTCGTTCCGTCGTCATGGACAGAGACCAAAGCAAATTCCAACATCACAGGCGATACTTGAACTGCAGAGTAACGTGAAACTAGCTATAACACTCTATTGGTATGTAATGTATTTGGGCTCCTTATTTGAGTTTCTCTTGATCTGGTTGTGGCCACCTGGGCCCATCTTTCAACGTACGTGTTTGCGACTTGTTCGAGTGATTCGCTTTTAACAGCCCCCTAACATCAAATAAACAAACTGATTTCATCAAGTCCTTTGAAAAAATCCTGTAGTAGAGTATTCCTGAAGCTAGAGCCCAAATCCAAGTCTATCCATGATTGATACAGGCCATTCAAGATCCCAGCGATATGCAAACTTCCGCACCTCCCGGCATGCTTCATCGTTGCCAACCATCCGGCTAGCCAAGAAAGCACGGAAGATGTTTTCAAGTTCAACCTCGTGAAGTGAGAGCAACAATTTTACCTTCTCGGCTTGGCTTTCGTTGTTCCTTGCCGCCTTCATCGCGTGATGGAGCGGCGTTTGGCGGTCTTCTGTATTGTCTGCCATCCATGCTAGTGTCGGCTCTACTTCGAGTAAGCTCTCCAGCGTCTTCGCCTCTATCCAGTATGTTTCGGCTGCTAATGAGAAAATTGTCCGGCCTTGGTGGTTTCTGATGGATGGATCCAAGCGGCAGGCCTCGACTATAACGCTGATTGTACCACCGGCTCTAGACACACGTTCCGTCGGTCTCCTACTTCCAGGGTCTCGGTGGTTGAGGTTGTCGGTATGTAGAAAAAGAACCGGGATCACACTTCTTGGGACCACGGTTGATGTTAGAGCTAGGTGAATTGGCAGGTAGTCATCCCTGTCTGGAGTGTTTACAGACACAGCGCCATCAAGTTCAATAAGTCGTCGGGCGATGATTGCACAATTCTTGCAATCCCTGTCCGCACACCCCCTTCTCGCAAGAATATGTATTGGCCGGTCCCCTTCGTAAGCTGTACGCTGCAAGTCGTCTTCATCCGCAAGGTCTAGTAGAAACATGGAAAGAGGATGACACTTTGATTGAAGTGCTTTGTGCAGTAGATCATGATGGTGCAAAATTTTCTTGCAAGCGCGGTATTCTGCAGAACCAGGATTCTTGATGAGAGAAATTGCACCAGGGGCCGAGATCTTGTCGCGATATAGATTTGGAAATGCTCGCCGAAACCACACGTGTACTAAGGAAGGATCTGCAGGGAGGTCTGGCCATCGTTTGACGTCCGAGGCCGTCGCTATTAATTCGTTGATAACTGGCTCAACAATCGTCGCGTGGTCGAGAACGGTTCGTGACCCCAGAAGGAGCTCCAAGGCCCCCAAATGACCAGCCAGGATGGCTACGGCAATAAAGCATGGAAAAAGGGCGATGGGGGCATCATGTTCTGAATGTAAAAAGAGTTCTAGAATTGGTGCATTCGCTCTGCGGAGAGCCTCGAACATCGATGGCCAGCTTCTTCTCAGGTAATAGTAGTCCTCCTTAAAAGGATTGATCCCTTGGTCAATGATATACTTGCAGATATGGACATGCCCAGCTTTTGTGGCGAGATGTAGCAGCGTGCCAGAGCTCCACCTTATGTGGAGGGGATATCCCGAAAGATGGAATTGCCTGACTTCCTCAAGGTTGCCTTTTCGGCAAGCTTCGCAAATGGTTTTCGACTTCGTGCTTTTGGTGGAGGGGAATGAGACCGCTAAGTTGGAAGAATTCTGATGAAAAGCCTTGCGATGTGCTTCAAGACGCTCGTGGGACTCACACCCAACGTCATGGAGAAAACAGTCAGTGTGGGTGCACCTATACGGTCGTTCATGCCTGTCAAGGTGCTCGTCGCAAGCATCTTGGCTTCGGAATCCGGTAGAGAACTTGGAACAGAAGACTCTGGGGCATTTGAATCTGAGGGGACCGGAGAGAGCCATGTATGCACTCTCTTTGGAAAGGTCGCGGTGTTGTGACTCCCCTGCCGCCCGAATGGTGATCACGCGAGATTGTATTCGCGCGTCGATATTCTGTGTGCGGAGCGTATTTGTTACTGTTTGAGCGCAAGCCTCCATCTCGAGAATCGATTGATTTGAAGGGTTGTCGGAATAGGCTGTGAGCAACCCCACCGCAGACGAGACAACGTCCGCTGGGAGACCAGATACATGCTTCTGTGCTTCCTCAACATGATAGCAATAGTTAACGGTGACGTAGTCAAGGAACCCGAAATAACCAGATTGAAGAGCGTTTTGGGAACTGTCTGTTTCTGGGTCTTGGAGAAAGGGCCGAGAAGAAAGGTAACGACAACAGAAGATAGCCAAGTCGGCATGCTCCTGGAGAAGATCAATGGTGCCTCTCTGAACAAGGTATCTGCTCAATGATATTAGTCTCTATGACCAGATGAGAAAGTCCTGGATTTAAACGCGAACACACCTGCCAGCTGTCTCGTGGACCATCTGTATGATCTGCTCGGACTGAAGACCCCCAAACATATCGCAGATCGTCACGTCAACAAGCGAGCTGCAGATATCTTTGCAGTTGTCGAGGCGGCGGCGCTTGGGGTTGCAGGTGCCCTTTTCTGCATTGATGCAAAATCTTGACTGTATCTCGCGCCATCGAAGAGGCCTCTGGGAGCAAATGATCCAACCCAAGATCTTCTTGACCGTCTTTTGTCGTGATGGCTTGGACTTTTCTAACACTCTTTGGATGATTCGCTCGTAACTGATCTCGTCAGAAACTCTCCCATGTGTATCTGGGGGTCTTGCTCACGCTTTGTATAGGTCTTCGGGAAAACTATCGCTTTGCATCTCATCTTCAAATTCATCGATTGAGTCCATGGATAAGAAATTGGACATGACGACCTTGGTATACAAGAACATGCCTAAGATAGTTAGAAGTGGTAATATAAGGGGCTAGATGAGCTGAGTACCTTGTGATGTCTTTGCTACTTTGGTGGCAAGCTCTTCTTCTTGTTCTGGTGTCTGAGAGAACCTCGCGCATATCTCGGCGGCTCGAGATTTCGAGTACTCCTCAATGTCCCTTTGGTGAGAATCAACCGTGTCAAGCCTGATTTGGGGCTGTGCTGACAACAGTTGGTCAAGTCGCCCGTCTCTCTGCCCGCAGAACAGTAATTTGAGATGACAACCCCGTGAAGCTGCGGAGGGAAGAACCTTGTCCAGAAACCAGGTAACGATTGCACTGGGTTCGTTCTCGGAACACTCATCAAGACCATCAAGTACCACAGAGACGCTGCGTTGGCTGGTCAAGCACTCGCGGGTCAAGTCTTGAAGAGTTGCGAGACTAGACAGCTCGAGATTGCTGCTCATGGGAGCGGACTTCTCATACAAGTATCGCATAATGGTTTCGTCTTGTTGGATCAACTGAGCCAGGATCGCTCGAAGCATCGGCTTGGCGGATTTTCTGTCGTCATCATCGTGTCTGAAGAGAAAGTGTACTGTATTGCCATGGATACTCGGGTCCTTGCCCGTGAGGTAGCGAATGACTTTCATCGCCAAAGCTGTTTTACCTTGAATATCCTAGTTAGCGGGAGACATAAGCCGTAAGAAGGATCGGAAGATATACCAGCGCCAGGTGAGCCGTTCAAGAACAAAACATTCCCTTGAGAGGATGTTGCACTTTCCCACGCCTGAAAGTGAGGATGCTGAAAGATCCAATCACCGGCAGATGGAGAGCTTAGTTCCGGGGAATCGAGTCGACTGCGAGACCCGAATCTCGAGATATTGAGCTTGTCCTCCAAAAACTCCTTCATATCTTGATCTTCAACTGATGTTTGGTGCTTCAGGCATTCAGAGGCTAACGTATTGCGGATATTGTCGAGATCCGCTTCAAGTTTATCAAACCGGTTATCAGCATGCCCCCGAAAGTTCTGAACTCCTTGATGGATGGCATGTGCCTGCAGCCTCTCGTGAGATAACCTCTCCTGTCGAAGCTTTAGCGCCCGGATGATCGGCTCGACCTGACGCCGGAAGCTTCCCCATGCCGCCTTGAAGAACGTTTTCCAATCTTGACATGGTCAGAAGTTTGTATATTAGCAGATATGGGTAAAGCATACTAGGTCGAGAAAACACGCCCAGAACGCATTGATGGAAACGAAGAATGTCGGAAAAGTAGTCCTCCAAGGCTCGCCTGAGGTGTTCTGCGCCGTTGCTTTTGATAAGTGTGTGGAAGAAGGCGAGGTTGCTCAGCGCCTCTCCAATCTCCTCGTAAGCATCTAGGAGTTGCTTGATGGAGTCGGCCCAAACTGTGGCAGCTATGAGAGCGAGCTTAATGGGCCCCTAGATCAAACATTTTGTGAGCGAGAGCGGAAAAGGTGCACCCGCATCGTGGCCATACCCAAACGAATGCCACGACCTCATGAACGTTGAGGAAAATGGAGACGAGTTGCTCAATGTGTTTCATCGCGTCGAGGAATTTTTCGATTCTTCCAAAGTTGCACAGCCTCTTGTCGCGGCCGAGTTTGGCCTGCATCTGTTGAATCGCTGCATCCAGGTCTTGGAGGTTTGCGTTGTTGAATTCCCGTTTCTGGTCCTTGGAAAGATGACTTCGGAACTGGTCTAATGACCGTTCGAAACTCGTACTGTTGGTAGATGACATGATGCCGTGGCGTTGACGAAGCCAGCCGAATGATTACTCTGAGCGATGGGTAGGGCGACCAAGAATTAAAAGGGTACGCCGTGGCCTCCATGACAATCTTGAAACTGGATGGGATGCATGGCCGCCAATCAAGGACCGTCTGTTACGGCGCCACTTCTGCAGTTGAGACGACAGTCATGCTGCTCATTGGTGTTTGCGACAGCTGAGCCCCGTTGAGTCCGCCTGGGCGGCAAGAAACTGTAGCGGGTTGGTGCACATTTCATCTCAACCATGGCGGGGCTGTGCCAACCCCTGACGGCCAAGAAGTTAGCCTACAGGGCTTTCTCGAGCTGTCAACTCATCAGTTGGTTGTTTTCCTCATCGCGCCAGCTTCATTGCTTTCCTCATAATCCATCGGTAGGCAGACCGTTAGCCTGATCACAGCAACTCATCATGTCACGGCCCGGTAAGCGGTATCGAAGTGGTGACAATGGCTTCAATAATGGTGCTCCCCCCAAAAGAATTTCACGACTCGCCTCTGGTGTTTGCGCCACAGGCACTCAGCCTGCTGGCTCCGGCATGGATTTGCATATGCCAGACGCGACACCAGAAATAATAGATTTGACGGGGCCAGAGCCGACCCGGGAAATAATAGATTTAACAGAGCGAGAAACAATTTGTTACGGAGCGGTAAGTTCCCTTCCTCTCATTGACACGAGTTGAGTTGACCTGAAATAGTTGTGCGAAGCTCAAGCACTGATGGCTCCCTGGACACCCGACCAGACCTCGCCTTGGACTCGATTTTGCTTGTTCCCCATCCAGGTCTATGAGAATGAGTGCTTCCTGTCAACTGAAGATGGACTTGACACGGAACAGCAGCATGTTCTTGACTGTCGCACCTGCTCGATACTATGTTTTGTCGCCAATAAGTTCAAGCGTGTGTCCTTCATGGCTGTTATTGCGATCGAGTCGCTTGGCGCCAAACGAGGAAAACCAAATCGCAAACCTTCACCTATCGGAGTTACAGTCAACGTCTACGGCCCAAGGCGCTTGATAAACAAGGTTGGCCAGGCCATGACGAACGTCGATGTTGTTCTTCAGCATCCAGTCTTCGTGGATTCAGAAACCTGCTATATGAACCCCCATTACTTCTATCCAGAACGTAAGAAGACTGACTTGAGACATCTGATTGGGCCGTTATACAAAGGATCCAAGTCAGCTGTATCTCAGGCCATTGACGATGCTTTGGATTCTGCAAATGACTGGGGTCATGGGGTCACGTCAACAGTCTGCGACAGGAGCGACTTGGAAAATGTGCTTGGATCTCTCTTGATCGATACACAGCTTAAAGAGTATGCCGTGTTACAAAGCCGTTGTTGATAAAACTTTAGCATCACTTGCTGACGCAAATGTGCAATAGCCATCAGGTCTCAGGCATTGAGTTCATCCTGACACGAGAGAACTCTTCCTTCGTCTCAGAGACGCACGTAAGGTTACTCTCCTCGATTCATTACAGGTAAGCCTCGCTTCATATATATTGAACTCTTGGCCAAGCTGACTGGAACCGAACAGCTTGCTGTCCCGTCGAACCGTCCCTGGGTGTGGCGGGATACTGGCAGATGTCATGGGTCTTGGGAAGACATTGACGATGCTTGGGGCGATTGTGTACTCAAAGCACTTGAACAATAGACTTGCCGCAAGTTCCAACTCCATGACGCAGTTGCGAGAAAAGACCCTGGTTGTTCTACCGTCACGACGTAGGTTGTAGCTGATACTTGGACTGCAAATTGATCTATGAAAGGTTGCTAACTGAGTTAAAGAGGTCCTTGACGTTTGGGATAATGAAATCGAAAGCTAGCCAGCCACCCAGTGGATTCTCATTGATCATTCTTTACTGACAATTTATAGGCGATTCCGGCCGCAAACTCTAAGAACAGCAATTTTCCACGGAAACAGGCGGGCCAAGGAAGGACAGCTACTTCTCGAGAGTGATGTCGTGTTGACTACGTACCATACACTGGAAAATGACAGCAAAAAGACCAAGATATTACAGTCCATCAAGTGGACCCGTGTGGTTCTGGACGAAGGTATCTGGATCCCATGGCAATCCTTACTCAGTAAAGCTAACTACTTGATACAGCCCATCAGATAAGAAACCCGTCCACCAAGCTTTTCAAGGCTGCGGTAGCTCTCGAAAGCGAGGCACGGTGGTGCCTCACCGGCACACCGATCCAGAACAGCCTCGATGACCTCAGATCACTGCTCAAGTTCCTGCGGTTCGAGCCTTTCTGCCAGCCTAAGGTGCTGGAAGAGCACATCGTAAGGCCAATGAGGAAAGATCCCGAACCTGGATCCAGCACAGCACGGAACCTGCGGATTCTTCTCAAGACCTGTTGTCTTCGAAGAACCCAAACTCTGCTTGACCTTCCGAGCGTGACGACAAGAGAAGTCTTGGTGAAACCTACGATGGCAGAGAAGGCTCGCTTCGCGCAGATCTTGGAGCAGTGCCGTGCAGAGTTCGACTTGATGGCCAGCCAAGACACCTGCCGGAAGACGCCCAATGTACTGTTTTCAGCCGTCGTCAAGCTTCGGCAGGTTTGTAATCACGGCATTGCTCAAATCAACGGGACCGGCGCCAGGGGATCGGATCGGCTCACTGTACCAAGGACGCTTAAAAAGAATTCCCGGCCCCCTAGTGCAGACCCAGTTTGCGATTTTTGCTGCGCCCAGGATGAGGAAGACGACATTTTACTGGGTGCCCTCGATTGCTGTCCGTTATGTGGCCGGGTCCAATCTGAAGGGAACGATACAAGCTCGCCTTCCACACCATCTCTCCGCCCCTGTTCGCCGTTTGCTTCTGGGGGAGTGTCCCTTAACCAAATGAATGCAGCAAGCTTTGCCTCAGGAATGCCAAATCACTTACTCTTGGATAGTGAATTGGCAGGCCAGTCCTCTAAACTTTCAGCAGTGGTCGATAACATAAAGTCATCCGGTTTGGAAGAGGATTCAAAGAGGTAACATCTACCTACACAGAGCCTAAGACATAAACTATTAAGCTAACTAATGAACAGCGTCGTTTTCACTAGCTGGAGGACGACGCTTGATATGCTCGCTGGCATACTCTCTAGTAATGGGATAGGGTTTGTGCAAGTCGATGGACGAAACCCGGTCATGGACCGGACCGCCTTGCTTTCACGGTTCTGTGAGGCTCCAGATATCCGAGTCCTTTTGATATCCATCAACACTGGCGCGGTTGGGTATGTTGTACACAAACGATGATGAGGAAGATCTTTCTAACATGACGCAGGCTCACCTTGACGAAGGCAAACGTGGTGCATATCGTTGAGCCACAGTGGAACCCAGCGATAGAGGAGCAGGCTATCACAAGAGTAGTCAGAATGGGACAGACACGGCCAGTGACCGTTTTCAAGTACATCATGAATGAGTCTGTGGAACAGGTAACTAGTTCTTGAGCTATTGGAGTCACACAATGACTGACCTGTTGGTACAGGGCGTGGTAAAACTGCAACAAAGAAAGACTCGCATAGTCAAGCTATCGATGCAAGACAAAGACGAATCCGATGCTGATTTCGCCCTGGATGTAAGTGAAAAATACTTGACATACCCGAGCCTCTAACGCTGACTCTAAGATAGACTTTTAAGTTTGCACTTGACCCCAATGAATGGAACTGAAGAGGAACCTGCATTACTGAATAGAGAAATCTGAGACGTGCTAGGTATTTTAGCTAGACTTCGGGATTGATCTTATAGAATGATGTTTCATATATCAAGTATAGATCATAGTGCAATACTCTAGCTACCAGTGTAAAAGTTCCTTCCTATCTTTCGGGGAGAGCCGATGCATATTGATTATTTTTTACAACTTTGATAACCTTTTTTGTGGGCGGTCGAATTTAGAAACCGGAGCTGACTGGTTGATCATCCAACAAATGCCCTCACAGAGATCGTTATCCCAGGCGTCGTTGGCTGGCGCATTAGGGAATCTGCGGAAGTAATGGGCATAACCTGGATAAACATTGAGCTTAACTGGGACACTAGAGACATGTGAAAATTAGCTGGGACTCCATTATTTAGGGAGCAAGGGCGTTTCATTACCCCAAATGTTGCAACTTCTCCCTGAACAGCATACCATGGTCACGCAACGGGTCATCGCCACAGACCATGATATGTGTGGGCGGTAGTTTGTCAATGTTTTTCTCGTCCAAGAGAAGTGGGTTAATGATTGGACTGTCACGACAGGACTGAGGAGGATCCATCATGCGGGCGTATTGCTCGACCCATGAATAAGAGAGGAGGGGTGCATTCTGACACTGCATCGGAGAAGCCTTGTTGTCTTGGATCTGTTCGTAGGGGAACTTGTCGGGCAAGCAGAGCCATGGAGCGGCTAAACATTGGCCTTTGATGATAGACTCTCCCAGCTAGGTTGAAGAGGCTATCATTAGTGGATAAAACAAGACGAGAGTAGTTGTTGGTAATGACTCACCATTCTCTCTCGAATAACGATACTTGCTGCCAGACAAGCACCAGAGCTGATACCCATGACATGAAGACCAAATTCCGGTGGCATCCCAATCCTGGCTGCGTTCTGTATGACCCAGCATCGCGCATCCCATGCATCTTGGAAAGGTGCTGGAGTTTTCCACTCTGGAGCTAACCGATAACCCACGCTGACAACGGTAAGACCACAATTCAGGGCTAAACTGGTGCAAGTTGCATCCTCGGTAGACAAAGAGCCGGAGAAGAAACCACCTCCGTGAAAGTACAGGAGGACCGAGGAGCCATGGTTGCGAGGGACATAGAGGCGGATGGGTATTTCCACGCAGTCCTCACCAACAATCATCAAAGTTTTAGTCTTGACGCCTTGGCCACCCATAGCTTTTAACTCGTCGCTGCTAACGGTAAAACGCTGTGAGTTGATTCGACGACGAATGGCTTTTATATCTGGGTTGCTGGTTGGGTCAGAAGCAGGAGGCAGTGATTGCTGTTGAAGAAAGGAAGTCCATTCAGCAGAAGGGCGGGCAAGGTAGCTGAAATCTGCCATGGCGAAGGTTTTCTCGTATGGAACCTGCTTAACAGTAAAATGTGAATCTGATGCCGCATATTTCTACGCTCCTTCGTGGATATTTATACTTGAGTGGCCCCCGGATCCCGGCTGAACTGCCATTATGTCGGCGTTCTCAAGGCCCGCGACCTTTCGTGAGATTCATGTCCTATGACCAATTCCATCAATTCGTTGTTGATCACCAGCTCGAAGCCTGCAGCAGCTGGTCCGGGTGGATATTCGGGGGTGGAGGATGATCGTCGTCTTGCTTAGAAAACATGGCAAGCAGCGGCAGGCGAAACTGGCGTGCACCGATAATACTGCAACTCCGGTTCACTATAGTCGGAAGATCTGGCCAGGGAAGTGCTGTAGCGGGCTGCAATAGGCCCCGGGTTTCAAGGCTGAGGCTGTCTGCGGTAACTCCGGCTCGTCTCAACTCATGCGTGACCGATGTGTACCCAGCTGATGATCAAGGCCGGCACTTCAGAGTCAACGGAAAGTTAATTTGTAACATGGCCCGGGTGTCGGCACGATTGATACTATGTCCGTCGTTGATGTGCGGTGGGCGGAAGATAAATAACCTCCGCGGGATATCCGTCCCGACTTCAACCGTCTTTGGCGAGAATTCGGCTCGCGGAATGAATGTGATAGTCTCAAAGTTGAATGCATGATCCTCATAGAAATCCTCACAGGGACTTTAAGGGTTGGAAAGTGAAGTTCACAGTCGAGTATCAGTATCGACTATGGATCAAGGGACACCTTTCTGAGGTTCAGTAATGATGAGCCCCAATTTGAGGTTGACCAGGGGATCCCACGACCCAAACGTGATCGCCACGAGAATTTTCTGATCGGGACCCCCGGGTTGGTCTGTGACTATAGGGATATCCGACAGTGTTTTCACAAACATCCAGACAGCTGAAGTGATAGAAACGTTAAGTGGTAGGATGATGACTTCTTCGCTTGTTACGCATCTCGATGGAGCATCTATGCTAAGAGTAGAATAGGGACTGGCAAAGGTATACAAGGTCGACTGAGTAAAGCTACCGACAAAAATAGCCACGCGTCACTTAGCATCTTGAGCAAAGGGACATAGACTCGGGGCTCTAGCGAGCTGAGAGACAGTGAGATGACATCTCCGCTTGCCTCGGCACTTCGGGACGTGTGTCAATAGACCAATCGCAAACCTCCAAAAGCGAGCCCATTACGCTCGCCTAATTATTACTGGCAACTAGCAGTTCGCCGAGCATCATTCTCATTGCTTATCTTGCTCTTTTGGTGGCTGTCATCCCTGCCAAGAACGGACCAGATGCTAACTCCGATCCGTCAGCCAATAACAACACCAAGAATCCGAGGTGTGCATGAGATCCTCGACAAAACGCCTGAACTTCAATGTCATCATCAAGAAGGATTCAGCTTGTCTCAGATCAGCCGGGTTACCGGTAATTAAGAGGAACCCGAGAATGAATCAAGTCTCGTGGTATTGAAGCTATATAAACGTAGTGTCGTTCGGCTGTTTGTTGAGCCTGACCTCAATATCACATTCCGAGCCGTTCACCTGAGTGATAGCTTGCAAAGATGGGTGGATCTTTTTCAAGTACATGGACGCAATCGTTCCCTCCCAAGCCAACCTTTACCGAAAAAGATGTGCCCGATCTCAAAGAAAAGGTGAGTGATATTTCCTCCTTGTAGCATTTCCACGTATTCACACTGCAGGTCTACATCGTCACTGGTTCCAACACTGGCGTGGGCAAGGAGCTAGCCCGGATGCTCTATTCCAAAAATGCCAAGGTCTACATCGCCGCCAGATCCGAAGACAAGGCCAAGACTGCTATGGCCGACATCAAGAAGGCGTCACCCGACTCCTCGGGTTCAATGGACTTTCTTCGCCTAGACTTGGCGGATCTTACTACTATCAAATCATCTGCTGATAGCTTCCTATCCAAGGAGAAGAAGCTTCACGTGCTGTTCAATAATGCGGGTATCCAGAGCCCAGACCCCGGGGTAACTGCCCAGGGCTATGAGGCTCATCTTGGCGTCAACTCACTCGGGACTTTCCTGTTCACCAAGCTTCTGACGCCAAAGCTCGTCGAGACAGCCAAGAGCGAGCCGGCTGGGACGGTACGAGTCATTTGGGTTTCGTCTGCAGCGACAGAGATTGTGGGTGAAAAGTCTGTTGGCCTTCATCTGGACAACCTTGACTATCATATCAACAAGTCTGAGATGTACAAGTATGGCATGAGCAAAGTTGGCAACTACTTGCATGGTGTCGAGTATGCAAAGAGGCATCGATCCGACGGGGTCGTCAGTGTTCCTCTGAACCCAGGAAACCTTCAGTCAGATCTTTATAGGGACCGGACTTCACTCTTGTTCAAGTTCATGGTCAAGTATTTGATGTACCCTCCGGTACTCGGGGCTTACACCGAGCTCTACGCCGGACTGTCTCCTGATATCACTATTGACAAGACCGGTAGCTGGGGTGAGTTTACGATGCTCGAAATCTGAAAAAAGTCTAACATGATGGATAGTAATTCCCTTTGGCCGTATTCATCCGATCAGAAAGGATCTCACCGAGGCCACGAGGACGAAGAGCGAGGGAGGAAACGGAACCGGGCTCAAGTTTTGGCAGTGGAGTGAGACGGAAGTGAACAAGTACCTATAAGCATGGAGCATGGGGTTTAGCAAGAACTTTGGCTAGTAATATAGATTTATTTAGACGAGATATCCCTGCATGAAGATTGTCAATTTGCGGATGGTACTCATTACTTTTTATAACACTATACATGTACTTTCCGGCGCGGTTGTCTCATCAAGGGCCGGGCTTGTCAAGGCATCACAGCATTACATCCAACTAACATAGTGGCCATTTTTAGTCTTGCTGCCAGGGCAGAAGACAAGTTTTACAATGCATGTCTTGGTTGATAGAACAATACGCAAAGGCAACGTATCAGTTATTATAAGAAGAGTTTAGGCATTTAAATTAAGAGTGTAGTATACACGATCAAGAAGTACAAAGCCAATCCTCCTCATCAGCCATTACCATATCCATCATGCCTCCTCCCACAATACTAGTACATCGTATGTACCGCTAGCCGCTTAGTAAAGACCAAGCATGGCCAGGGCGGCAACAGTAACGGCGGTAGCGAGACCGAAGTGCTTGGCACCAGCGTTAACAATGACCGTGGTGGGTGCGGGGGTGCCCTACAAAAAGAGATAATCGTTAATCTACTGGAGGAGTAGGAGGAACCATGCGAGACATACAGTGACACCGATGGTGCCGATCTCGTCAACCGAGGTCTTGGTGCCAGCGGAGCCGGCGTCGGTGGACTCGGTAGCAGGGGTGGCGGCAGTGGTGAGGGTAGTGGCGGTGGAGGAGCCAGCAGTGGTCTCGGAGTCATCAGTCTGCTCGGGGGCGGCACCAGTGGTGGTAGCCTCGGGGGTAGAGTCGTCAGTCTCCTCAGCGGCGGCAGTGGTAGAAGGCTGGCCAGCCGCAGTGGTCTGCTCCTCCTCCTCATCGGCGGTGGTCGCGGGCTCCTGGGCCTGGGTGGTAGAGGGCTGAGCGGCAGCGGTGGAAGCGGGCTCCTCCTCCTCGGCAGTGGTAGCGGCAGCCGAAGAGCCAGAGGCGCTGGGGGTAGGCGAGAGACCACACTCCTCAGCGGCGCTGGTGACACCGTTGCGGTAGTACTGCCAGATGTTGTAGGTGTTGGCGCAGATCATGCAACGTCCGTAGCGCTCGTTCCACTCGTCGTTGTCACAGTAGCCCTCCTCGCGGCCAAGAGTGATCAAGAGACCTGTGGAAGGTTATTAGATACAATCACATGCAAGCATGTGTGTCGATGCAACATACCACAGTCCTCGTGGCAGGCATACTGAGGGGTGCCAGGGGCCTGACGCTTGAGCAGAGCAGGAACAGTGTCGGGGAACTCGAATCGGGGGTCGAGGGCAGCCACCATAGAGGCCGAAGCCAAAAGAGTGTAGGTAACGAACGAATGCATCTTGAAGGTGAGAGATGAGATAGTCTAACCGCCAAATTGCTAGGTGACTGGATTGATTGTCTTGATCGAGTGCTGAGGATGAAGAAAAAGAGTACAGCTCAGAGCTTGCGAAGCTCTCTTATATAACCGGAATGACTCGTCTCTGGAGTTAATGTCCAAACCCCTTGATCGAGAAGGGAAAGGCTCCAGGTCCGGGGTGGTTCCTGCAGGCCTGATCCACGCCTGCAGAGCTAATTGCAACGGTATCCAGCTTTCTCGCCCCTCCGGTAAAGCCGAGAGTGTGGCCGGAGCTCCTACTCCCCGCGGATGCAACTCGTGGCCTGATGCCAAGTCTAATCACGCGCTGATGGAGTAGCACCAATGTCCCAAAGAAGAATTCTGATCCGAAAAGAGGTGCCGATATCGTTCGTGGGAAGGATTTCCCTCAAAAGAACCCCCCCAAAGGAGCAGGGGTCTTTGACAGGCGCCTAGGCCTCGCCAAGCCTTGGAAAATTGTGGGCGAAAAGGCCAAAACTGGTGTAGCGATGCATCCAAAATCTTATCTGATCATCTGATAAGCAAGGGTCCAGCTCGGGTCAGACCCAGTGACCGGCAAATAACTCGGGCTAAAAGAAACCGTTCACGAGTACGTATAGAACTTGTGTTTCTTGGCTAAATGCTGGACCCCCACCACATGCAAGTTAGTAGTTTCTCGGCGACCGACATGTCCGTGGGACGGTGGGAGGTTGGTCTTTCTATTGGAACGTGTAGTAGTATATCAGGAGGATGAGTGCCCCTTGTTTACCGCCAGTTACTCAACCCTCATTTCCCGTGCATGTTCTGCCGCGTCATCCCATCGCCGCCCACAATGCTCAAGAACCTTCTCCTTCTTGGTCTGGCGACCTTTGTCGTTGGTCAGTCTGATGACGATGACATCCCTACCGGTTCCAGCGTCACCGACGATGAGATGGGCCCGGCGGCCTTCATGTGGCCGGCTGACAGAGTCTGGGCTGGAGATGTCGACAATAGGGCTCCTTGTGGTTCCCGCGCTTCGGCTGGAAACAGAACCGAGTTTCCTCTGAGTTTGTTTCACCTTGAGTCAAGTAGTTGTGACAGTTGCTAACACACAAGTCTAGCGGGCGGCGCTGTCTCGCTGGTTGCTCAGGATGACTACTACGATGCAAAGATTAGCATCTCGTACTCCAGCGGTTAGTTTCCATTTCCATACTTTCCTCTCGATAGCATTCCTAACAGTGACAGACCCCTCCTCCAACGATGACTTTGAGACCTTGATTCAGGCAAAGTCCATTGCCGATCTGAACCCAGGTCATACCTGCGTCCAGCTCCCCGATGCGCCATCTAGTGTCTCAGCCGGCGACAACGCCACGCTACAAATCATCTACCGCGCCGACTGGGATGCTCCTCACAACCAGACCTTCTACGCCTGCGCTGATATCACCTATGTCTCGGAGGCCAACTTCAACTTTGAGATCCCCTGCTTCAACGCTACCGAGCCCGGTGACGATGATAAGGAGGCTGGCGTTACTGCCTCTGGCAGCCCTACTGCCACTCACCTGTCGACCAAGGAGACTTCTACTTCTGAGGCTTCTAATGATGACAACGAGGAGAAGTCGTCCGGTGGTTCCAAGGGACTCAGTGGCGGTGCTATCGCTGGTATTGTCGTCGGTTCAGTTGTCGGTGCCCTGGCCATCCTCGGCGCGGGTCTGTTCCTCTGGCGCCGAAAGCAGCAGCAGGAGAGAAACGAGCGTATCGCTCGTATGGAGGACAACGCTCGCAAGCACCAGTTGGCTACGGACAGCATCCGCTCTTCTCAGGCTTAATTGTGCTTCGAAAAGTGTATGGATGATTATTCTACGGTGATGTCTTTATGATACCTGTATGAAGGAATGTGATACCTGGTGGTGATGGAAACGTGTAGATAGTTTATGTCTAATGGAACGATATTTGGTCTTAACAACGGTACATTTCAACTCCATGCTGTGTTCTCCTGATCTTCGATACATCTTGCAAGCGAATAGCATCCAGCATATCTGCTATGACAAGTCTGCAAGACACCTTCAGCCACAATTCGGCATCTATCACATCTCCATTCATGCGAACACTACCATCAGAGCTGAACTGCGGCCATCGCTTATCCGGCATTCTCTGGACGATCTCATTTCCGCTGTCTGCGCTACCGACGCACGCCCTGAGGCTACGCGGCTACGCCGTGATCTTTCAGCTCGATCAAACAGATTCCCGGATTTTGAGATTCCTCTGGGCGAGACAGGGCCAGGGAACCTCCCAGTACCTGTAATTTTCCCCCGCGGCCACCGTTTCCCGATATCGGCCGTCGGTGATGCCATCTCCAAGACCCCTTGACGACCCCCGGAGGTTTTCTTCCTTCCACCGTTTTCCAATCACCCCAGGATCAAAATCACACCAACGGTCGATAAAGCCTTGATTTACGTACGCTAGACTAGTTCCCACGTGGTGATTGGCGCCCCAGTTGAAGAATCACGCAATAAAAGTTGGCCCGTTGGAGCGCTTGGGTACCATTGCTGTGGAGCCGACGAGGATCGATAGTTGCATCCCATCGTGTTTGAATGGGTCATGAGCAAATTTGGGAAATATGGGACAGAGCAAGGCCAAGGATCTAAAGGATAAAAGCCGGATCTGCTAACAGACCGAATAAGAATAAGCCCGCGCAAACCTTGTTGTTGACGGATCGAAAAAAACACCCATGATGGTGGCAACGGAGGGACAGGGGGGAGCACGGAGCAGAGTCCTCACAATGCTTAGCGTGGGAGGATTCCGGGACTTCACCTGAAATCTGTGGAGACGGAGGTGACATCTGCAGGGATAGCATTGGACACCATCTAATCAATCTTATCAATCAGTCAATCACTGGCCCGTCATCGGATACGTTGATGGAACCCTTGGTTGGCACTATCGGCTTGGCACAGCCATTGGACTTGGCACAGCTGGCGTGTCACCCTCGGTTGGTTCAGGGAGTGGGCGCCTGTAACCTAAGACGGTCTTGGAGCATTCCACCAGTCCCTTTTCTTCCTCCGTATTCAAGGTTAGTGGCCGGTACAAGTGGGATAGAGCCAGGCTATCGGTAGTCGTGGCTTGGCTCTTGGAGTGGGAGTGCTTGGTCAGGCGTGACCAAGCACCGGATGAGGAAGGAAAGATAACGTTTTCACTTTAATTGGGAGTTGGAAAGATGTGCTGCAGATGCATGCGATGCATAACGTGGCGTAGATTGAGAGACGGGATGCTTCCCCTACCCTACCTAGCCCAACTCACATCTTGACTGCCCGAATTTCTGATTGGCATGTCGCCCATTACTTCTTCTCTGTCTCTTTTTTCTGCTTACTCTCATCCTCCCGACATGTCGGGCAAATAGTTGTTCGTGCCTCGTGGATAGACTTGATGATTTCTCCACTACAAGGCCTGTTCTGCTCAGCTTTTTCGCATCTGACTGGGTAATCCAGGATCTCGATAAGAGATTGGCAGCCTGAGCATCGAAAATGGCGCCGGTCAATGAAACACATGTCGAAGGAGCTTGTATAGGTTAGCACTGAGATGTAGGAATTGGAAGATTTGCTGGTGGCAAGAAAATGGCATCAAGGGATAGCGATCATAGACTTTTTACACGTTTTCCTAGAGCTTATTGAACCTATTTGACTCTTTATGACTTAATAAGTAACGTCTAGTTGACAGATGAATGTTCGCTCTGCAAAAAAAGCGTTCGTTTAACTAGGTATATGGAGACGCCTCTTGAAGAGCGAAGTTCTGTTACCCTACACTCAAGGTCATTGTCTCTCTCAGTCGAGAGAAGGTATATGTTTATGGTCATTTTACCCATAATTAAAATTTCTGGTTATTACTGGTAAGCTTAATATTAAGAGAAGGGAAAAAATTTCTCTTGGCTCACTGCATAGGAAAGACCTGAATGGCTCAAAGGTGAGTTTTGTCAACACAAAGGCCGGGCTAGACCCGTTAACACGTTCACACACAGAAAAAAGACTGGGAACCAGTCAACACGTGACCGGGGTGCGGTTATTATCAGCCAAAATAGGGGCAATCACTTGAACCTGGCCAGTTCACGCAAGGAGTCATTGTACCTCGCAAGAGTGGATAGGTGCTGTTACATATTTGTCCAATGATTTGCATCTCTGAAACATGGACAGTAACATGAACCGTAACCTAAGTAGGCACATCTACCCATGATGAGAAAGCACACAAAGGGTATCAGGTGTTGAGTTTTGGTTGGCGCCAAGAGGGAACAAAGGGGGAAGGTCCGTCCTCTTGCTCACATATATAGTTCTAGTAGCGTTCAAAGAGGTATTGGCGATGTACTGAATGAGTATCAGCTGACTAGTATATGTTTTCTTTCTGTTCGTATCAGCGTAGATAGTAAAATTCACAGGGACGTCTGTGTCAAAGTGACAGCGGACCCATCTCAACACTAGAACACATAGTCATATCTTTGTACGGGAGGAAATTATTCCCTATGTTTAGCAATTAATATAGAAATAAAACCTTGGCGAAGTCCATTCACTCTCACATAAAAAGACTATCGATCTCCTGTCTTGGGCTAAAATCTCACCATCACGTTCACATCTTCACTCACACAGCCACAGCTCGCTCATCACTCACACAATTCACTACAATTCATCACGATGGATTCTCCTACTTTCACCCAAAACACCAACCCCAGCCTTACTGTCGCACAGACAGTCGAGCAGATGCCCGCACCTCCCACCGACAAGGCTGGCATGGAGCCTAACAGCCTCCCTCACAGCACCACGTGCACCTGCGAGTGGTGTGGCGGATGCCGACGCCCGATTCATCACTGGGGCTCCCTTCGGTGCAAGGAGTGCCACCACGAGTGCCCCGATTAAGCGAGGGTGAGTCTGCAGTGTGACAGCTGCTCAAAAAGTTGCCCAGTGGGAACTTCATGGCAGTGTCACCTGACACAGGTGAGTAGAGGTGAGTTGACTGATGGAGAGTATGCAAGAGTATGAGGAAGCAGAAGAGGTAGATCAATAAACGTCTTTCAAGACACCAACTCAACAGTTTCATAATACAATTAAGAGATAACAGTGAAGTCTAAGAGTAGTTATGACACACATTCCCATAGAACCAAGGAGGGGATGGCGAAGCTCAGGGCCATTCACAACAGCGACGAGTCCAAGGTGCTCAACTATGAATGTGGCCGACTGTGGTATCAAAAGGACGCTCCGGTCCAAATCACTTGTGCAGTCTGGAAATACACTTCAAGTATTACTTGCAAATCAAATTAAAGCTTTTATACACAGATAATAGTAATTTGCTTTGTGTGAGCCATTTAAAGGACCTGCCTACCTGTGCAAACTCTTGACCTCTGCTTTATCTGCCAACGATGTAATAAAGTTTGGATGGATATCCCAAGTTTGCTTCCTTCAAGTCTGTTAGGTCCGTTCTTAGTAACTAAATATGTACATTACTGGCAAGGTAAAAGACAGCGAAGGGGGCTGCTTGACCAGGGAACAGCACGAAATGTCATGCATGATCAAGATGAAAAGATAACCTTATTTTCGATCGTATCTGAGATCAATAGTACACAGGGCAACATACGATCCCGTTCCAAACGATTACGAGTTCGGATCAAGGTCAAGGTACAAGTTGATCGCTTCTTGGCTAAATTGAAGATCGGCCGATGAGTATCCACACAACTGCCGTTGTACGGCCGATGAGCTTAGTGTAGTGAATGACGAGTCATATCTACGTCTCTAAAGTCGGTGAGACTCCTCTTTCATGCCTAAAAAGGTTCTTGACTCTGAATCGTTCGACGGCCCACGGTCGACTTTCACATGTTGCAAGCAAAGTCTTCACTCGTCCGAGGAGGGGGAAATGAACATGAGGCGACCAAAAAGCTCAAAGACCGTAAATCTAAGTGAACGAGGAAAAGTTTTGGGGCAGTTAAGAGTCAAGAAAGAATCATGTTAAGATAATCGGTGCTTTTGATTAATGTTCAAAAACCATAGCTACGGCAGTATATCACAAAACCCCTAATGGGCGCACATATTTATAAGATGTGTGAGAATTTTAACTTGTCAACTACTCATATCATCTACTCGCATGACAACTATAAACGGTGAGAAGAAAACCCAAGCTAGTCCATGAAGAACTCCCGGAGCTTTCGCAAGATCTCTTCATTAGGCCTCATCTCCACCTTCTCCAGCTTCCAAAGCCGCTGGAGCAATTGTTTGCTCATTTGGTGACCATTGAAGCAATTCTGTCTATCAAATACCCGGCAGACCGTCATGCGTTCACCATCGGACATCTCGAGCCACAGCGACACGGCGTTGCCCTCAAACCTCAGCTTGTTGATCTTGTCCTGCAAGGCTGTCCCTTCTTCAGGTGTTGTTGCAGGGTTGTTTTGACTCATATCCTGCTCTGCCTTTAGGACCTTGACCTGTTCCATTCTCTCTGTGAGATAGCGACATTCGCCTTTCATCTCCAAGTCATCGAGGTTTTTGAGGAGAATATTTGACGTCTCTACAATGCGCTCATTGCGCAACTTGTTAGAGTCGGCCAGCTGAATCCACTCGTCAACATTGTGGGCAGGTCGCTTGATAGACTTGATAGAGGCCATGATATGCTGCTGTCAAGGAGATCTGTGTGTACCCGAAGATGCCGTAGGTGCTATGGTTGTAGATTCTGAAACCAGGGCGATGGGTATTTATGTAGATTTTAGCCAAGGCTCTTTATTAGTCTTCTGATGTTTTGCATATTATCTGATCAAAGCCTTTACTGAGGACGTGTAGGTGAATGTTCAACAAGTGCCTTTGTTCGACCTGAACAGCTATTAACAACCCATCAACGTTATGTTCTGGATCTTGCTAAAAACACCCAAAATAGAATAGAACAGGACGTTCAGCTAGCTATGATACTTCCAGGGCGTAAAGGGTCGCAAAGCGAGACTCGAAACATGTTGTGGGAATGAGAACATGCTTTGGTGTCAATAAAGTTATGTTTCTGTGTACCTTCCATTTCGCTCCCCGTTGTTCCATCCTTTTTACCGCCAAAAACACACCAATGAGGTAAGATAGTTACTAATTTTGAATGCAAGGAGCTTTCTTACGCTCACTATCCCCCGCGTGACAGCTGCCAGCCACTTTGCGGCATCTAATTCAAGGCACAAGCCGTTCAGCCACTGTTCCGAGTTGAAACAGATCTTCCGTTAGCACCAATCACAAGGATAGATGGGCCAATCATTTCCCTGCGGGTTGTACGCGCCCCTGGGCTTAGCAGGGCGACCCCATGGAGTTGCAGGCCAGCTGAATAGAGAGGCGTATTTTGGGCGCCACTATTGGCAGTCTGATTTGCCAAGCACTTCTGGCGCCTCCTGCATTTTTGAAAATCTCCCTCTGATCAAGTTGAGGTGAAAACTCGATTCTCTTTCTTCCTTTCCTTGAGTTCTGGCTGGATCCTTGATTGCCTAGCAAGGTACTCAACAGCCATGGCCAGCATCTCCACGCCTCGCGCGCTATGGAACATCACCCTTCTTCAGCAAAATGCCACAGCCGAAGAAATTATTGCCCTTCCGTGGGTCAATAGTCCCAACGTCCGCGGCACCATGGATATCCTACAGAGTTGCATCCTGACCCTGGTTGCGTGCATCTACACGGCTCTCCACCTCGACGTGCCGAAAAGAACATCAAGCTGGCGCCTATTTCTCACGAAACTGAAATGGGTCGCTATTACCCTCTTTGTCCCTGAGCTTCCTGTTTTCATGGCAGCTGATCAGCTGCATCAGGCGTGGAAGCTTCGACAGGAGCTTCGTGAGTTGAAGAAGAGGGACGAATCCAGCAACGTGGAGGTGAGAATCCTTTGCATCTCATCCGAGGCCTTTCTTGCTGACTTTGCAGTTTGAAATTGATCTTCGATATTGTTTCTTCATGATCATGGGAGGCATTCGTCTCGACGTCCACGATATAATCTCCATGCCAGATCTTGACCTTGAGGCCATCCAGTACTTCAAGGACGACGGAGGCCGGAGATCTGTGCGACCAAGCCCTGAAACTGTTTCCTGGCTTGCCAAACAAAACATCTGGATCGAGGTCTCACAGAAGACCATTGACGACAAAAGCAAGGCCGACATCTTGCAAAAGATTCTTGTGGTTATTCAGGTGCTATGGATGGTGACGCAGTGCATCGCTAGAAGCGTGTATGACCTGCCGTTGACCTTGCTGGAGATCCATACCATGGTTCATGTGGCGTGTGCCGTCTTTCTCTACATCTGCTGGTTTCGGGTATGCCTTCGCACCCATGTAAAACACGTTGGGTCGTGTACTAATCAAGCTTAGAAACCACTCAACGTCCAGGAGCCCGTCATCTACGAGGGTGGATCACTCACAGGAGAAATCGCCCTCAAAATCGAGCATCAATTCTACGCAGACATGAAGTACCTGTTCGCACTCTTTCCACCCCGCACACACCCAGACCAGGCTCCCTCCAAAGGACCGCACCGCATGAAGATGCGCTGGGTAGATACCCCGAAAGACTCCATCATGCGCCCGGGAGATGTCCTTCCTTCAGGGCTCGCCTTGTGTTGTACAGTTCCACAAGAACATCATAGAGAGGACCAAGAGAACGCTGAGCCTGATTACGGTGAGGTTCCCGTGACCGAACAGTTTCTTCATCGCTGGGACTGCATTCTCAAGAGATACGCATTTGAAGACTGCGAGCGGCTGTCAAGAGAGCGGAAAATCACACTATACGCAAACGACTTTCTTAGAGTAGATCCTCGGCCCCTCCCATGCATGGACGAAGACCCTCCGACGCCGTATCTAGCACTCTTGGACGAGTTCACTCCCTTCAGAAGGACCACGTTCAAAAATATTCCGTTTGCTGAAGGCAAAGACAACTTTGACATCAAGTTTCTCGACATGCTTGGGGGAAGAGTGACTCTACAGCCGGCTGACTTCTTCAGGATCTGCTGGCAGATCCCCGAGCTTATGGCTCTCGCTGCCGCTCTCTCGGGCATGTACGGGGGCGTTCATCTCACAGCATGGAATTGGATATTTCCAACCTATACCGAGGACCTTCTCTGGAAAGTCAGCTGTTTATGCGTAGCTGTCGCATTGCCTGCCTTCTTCTGCGCTAGTTGGGTGCTCGTTTGTATTAGTGCCATCTTGCACTGTCTCGTGGAGCCATGCTTTGGTCTCCGGAAGAAATGGGCATCGCGAGCATTCAAAGACCCGCTTCGAGCTTACTCGGCCTGTGTTGCAATCGTATATGTCTGCTGTAGGATCTTTATCGTTGCTGAGGCCTTTGTGGCATTGAGACAGGTCCCTGTGGGAGTCTACATATCCCCTGCATGGGTTCAGATGGTGCCTCACTTCTAGTAGAGTCCCGAGAACAACAAATATTTGCAGTCTATGACTTGAAATCTTGCATCTCTCTCATGTTTGTTTATCCTCTTTCTGCAACGCCTTGACGACAGCAGTAGCAAAGTCAATGTTCCCAGCAAATATCTCCCATGAATGCTCGGGATATCCTGACTGAACCGCAATGACAGTGTCCAACTTGGGGATGACATAGAGGGATTGGCCATACATTCCAAACCCAGCAAACGCTCCATTCTCCCTCAGCGGACCCCCTTTGACACCCTTGGCAGGCGTCCACCAGCCCGTTTCGTACCCAAATGTCGGAATAATGTCGTTTCCGCCAGGAGCTCTTGGTCCTTCACTAGTCTTGGCTTCGGAAATGCCCTGAAACCAACCTGCTGGTAGGGCAGGGCCCTTGCCTTTTCCCTTGAGGGCGTCAAGGATGAAGAACCCAAAGCGAGCCATGTCGGTCAGGGTCACTGACAGGCCTCCGTGTCCATCAATCTGTCCAGCCCCAGTTGTTCGCATGTACGCATCGTATTGCATTCCTGCGGGTTCCCAGATCTGGCTAGAAATGTATTCCTCCAACGGAACTTGGGTTGCTCGGGAAATTGCAATTGAAAGGACGTAGAAGTTGGGATTGTAGTAATGAAACTCTTCCCACGGCTCAGCCACCTTTCTGAACGTCCGCAGCCAGTTGAGCACGGCGTGGGTGTCGCGCTGAGGATAGAGATCGGTCGCATACATTGGGTTAGGAACATCTGGCGGCCGTGCTTCCTCAGAGATTTCCACAACGCCAGCGGACATGTTGGCGAGAGCTAGCAAGGGCACATCCTTCCAAGCAGTGTCCTTCAGCTCGTTTATATGGTGTCCGACGGTATCATTGACAGACAGCTTGCCTTGCTGCTGAGCGATACCGAGAATAGTCGTCATGAAAGACTTGGTGACAGACTGTATGTCATTGCGAGACCCGGGCGAGTTTCCATGTCGGTACTCCTCAAGCCTAATCACGCCATTCCGAACAACAACGCAGCCAGTCCATCCAAACTCGCCCATAACACTCTCGAGATTGGCGTTAGACTTGTCACTAGTTGCCAAGTCAAGGTCGAGAGGTGGCCCCTTGGTGAAGCGTCTCAGATAAGAGCCATGTCTGATTTGAGTTGTCCGTCCAGGAAATGTCTCTTCACGCAATCTGTAGAGAAGAGGGGTGAAAGCTGCACCAGCAGGATCGAGAGAGGAGAGCTGGAAGCTGCCGATCTGATCGGCTATTGTGGGGGGTGTTTCTGGAGGCGACATGATGTGTAGTAAGTGGCTCGATAAGGCTCAAGGTTTGTACTTCTTGAGTGTGTCTATGCGGGGAAACGAATTCTTTCTCCAGGTTGAAGTCAGCATATTCCCAAGTCGGAGGTCTTCTCCGGGAGTTGGTCCGATGAGAGCGGATACTATCCGAGTAAGACGGGTCCGCTCGGGGAAAGACAGACCAATCATTCTCGACATCACCCTTTGGTAGAGAAGAAGCGTCGGTCGCAGCCCCCGATGGGTATTTTTGGACTCGGATCAAAACCGAATGGTCGAAGTTGGGGCGGATATCTTACTAGAGTAACTAATCAAGCCTGCAATTTAATCTCGCCTCGAGGTTCGATGAAGGCGCTGTGGTCACCGTTGTAAGCATTCAACTGAATGCCTAGAAAAAGAAGAACCCTCTTTTCTCCCACCACATCGAAGTACCCGACCCAAGGAATAAGCCCACCGTAACTTACCCAGTCATCAGTTTGCAAAGGGAAACCACTGAAGTGATATATCACCAGCCGAATTCGCAACCGAAAGAACTTAGCATGCACGTGTATTACCACTGGAAATCTAATGAACGTCTAACCTAATTTTTAACCCGAACTCTAAACTCTTAGCCACGCTCTTTGTCTCAACCATTACCCTCCCAAACAGCCATCTTCAAGCACTCAACGCCCACCAGGTCTCCCTCCCTGCTCCATCTCCTTTCGAACAACCTCCAACAGCTTCTCAGTCTTTACACGCCGCATGTTGTCTTCAGGAAGAATCTTCCTCCGGATCGCTGCCACATGCTCGAGTAGCTTGACCGCTCTGCCTCTGTGCCCCAACGTGTAGTAGGCCATTCCAAGGTTGTGCTGCACTTCAAGCAGCTGCGGGTTTCCGTCCCAGGCTGCAGTTGCCTTCCAGATCTTGGCTGTGCCTCTCAGTATGCTCACAGCCCTGAGAGTCTGTCCGTCTTCCAGAAAGGCTTCTCCCACTTGGTTCTGGAATGCGAGTCGGTACATGTCGCCTTTGGGGCCATGCTCGCCCCAGGCAGAGCCCATCCTCTCCAATCCATTTACTCTAGCGGCTGAACCCCCAACGAGCGATTGTGCGATCCACAGCTCAGTCACTACCGATCTCAGTGTAGCATTGTCAACCCATCCACCTTCAACCATCGCGAGCAGGTACTGTGCTAGCTCAGCCCCCCTCTGAACATAATTGTGATACTTGCTTGTTAGTCTGAGCACGTCCTGCTTGTACAGTAGGTCCTGGGCACTCGATGGTGATGCGTTTTGGAGTATTTCAATCTCATACTCCAGTCTCTTGACTATCGCTGTTGTGTTCCGGTTATGGGAAGTAATTCCGAGATAGTACTGTCGGATAAGCCGGCACGTTCGACTCTGCTTTGTTCCAACTTCTCCTTCGTAGAGATTCTGTAGGAGTTCATAAGCGTCAGACGCTTGTGTTTCGGCCAGAAGGGCATCCATAAGCCAAGGCCAAGAACATTCTAGGGCTGGGTGGCCACTTGGCAGCTTGTTTAGTAAATCCGTTATCCTACGCAATATCCCAGTGATCTCCTTCTCATCTGTCCCGAAATGGGCTACGCTCTTCAGGTTCTGAAGAGTTCTAAGAAGTGGAGTGAGATCTTTGTCAAATGAATGCAATCTTTCTAGCTCTGCCACGACGTGTTGCAATAGCTCAAAGGACTTATCCAACTGACCCCTGTGAAGATGAGTTAAAGCAAGTATGCCCTCACAGTCCAGTCGATCTAGGTCGTCCTCGGAGAGATGCCCCTTAGCCCAATTGAAGGATTCTTGACAGCATTCGTCGGCCTCCCGGATTCGACGATCGCCGATCACGTAGTTACCCAGTTCGCTGCTCAGGAGAAGCTTCTCTTTGCTTTCAATCCGGTCTTCTGATTGAAGAACCCTTAGCGCATGCGAGATGCATTGTCTCCAGTATGGCTGCTGCCCTCTTCCCTTTTGAAGCACTGCTGCAAGGTGCTTGTACGCGTCAATGGTGGTCTGGGAGGACAACCCACTCCTCTGTACCCAAATTCTCGTGGCTAAATGCACAAGACTATGCATGTCATAGACTTCTTGGTCTTCCCGTGGAACCAAAAAAGCATAAGAGCAAAGAGTGCCAACTGAGTACGTGAGTTCCTCTTCCAAGTCCCCACGGGGTAGAATTGGGAGCGGGATGTCCTTGGGTTCGATTCTCGAGATAAATTTGAGCAGGTTGGCAGCCATTGGGTCTTGCGCGAGGATCTGGTCGAAAGAAACACGCCACGTGGTTGCCACAGCGTTTTGCGATCCACGGTATCGAGTTCGGTCGTGGAATTCGTGACTTAGCAGGGAAGTCATTTCCTTCTCGGTGCCTCGCAACAACTCGAGGTATCGAGTGACGGTAACCTTGTTTCGATTCAAATAAGCTGCGGCTTGACCAATTGCCAGTGGAAGGTATGTAAGCTCTTCCAACAGCTCCGAGACAACAGAAGGATCTGCAAGTAGAAGCTTGCTGTTGATGGACTTTCCCAGGAATTCCAAGGCTTCTGCTGGTTTCATTTCCCCAAGTTGCAGTGGCTCTTCGTCAGCAACTTCAAGGGCTACCTCATTTGAGCGGGTGGTGAAGAGGATTCGGCCAGCAGGACTTTGGGGCAACTGTTCATCGATACTGAAGGAATGACCAGGACCACCCAGAATCAAGCCCCGCTCATCAGCGTTGTCCACAATGATGAGCCATGGCCCAGACTTCTTGGAACTCAGAAAGTCTCTCAGAATGGCTTTGGAATCTAAACCTTGCTGGAAAATGCCCAGTTCGGTGGCGACCGTGTTGCAGCTTTGCTCAAAGCTGCTAGCACTCAGTGCAGAGAGCCAGAAGATAGAGTACTCTGGCTTCTCATGTTTGACCCAAAAGGCAAACTCAAGAGCAGTCTGGGTTTTGCCCGCCCCTCCAAGCCCAGCCAGTGCGACCCTTTCGCAGGGCTCCTCGCCAAAGAAGGCATCCGAGAGCTTCTTGAGGATGGTTTCGCGGCCAACAAACCGTTTGTTCTTCGCGAATGGGAGACAGTACTTGGGTGGTCACGAGAAATCAGCTATGTACACACTTTGCTTTGTCTTGAGATTGGCAACACACTTTCCCACCATAGCAGCACTGTCCACCTTCTCGAGGTACACTTGGGTAGCCATTTTGATCTTTCCGCTCTCCTTGTATTCGGAGAGCTCAACATCCTGGAGGCCCTGCTCGACGTTGAAGCGAAAGTATCGATGGGCATCGCTCAGATCCCGCCATGCCAGGGCGAATCTGTGGGCCGTCGACTCAGTGTTCGTGCTGATCCTGACGAGGGTTTCCGAAACAAATTGCAAGAAATTATCGCTAATAGATTTCATGCCTGGATTTCCTGTGCCGATAGAGATGAAACACTTGACCAAAGGCTTGAGGTCTTCTGTTTCGCGGCCCATGATGTATCTCGCCTCACCAACGACTTCGTCAACCGGGTTGTTGGCACCAAGACCCCCATCGAGGTATTTCATATCATCGATCGTGACGGGCTCGAAGAAGGTGGTTGCGGCGGACGTCGCCATAGCAACTTCGACGATGGTGGCATTGCTAGAGGGCTCCTTGACCGTGTCGTAGCTTCTCAGGCGGCGAGTGGTCGTAGAATGGGCAGAGGTCGCGCAGACGAACCTTGGCTAAGATCAGCAACGTTCTATGAAGACTTGATGAGAGGGATCTTACACTTTGCAGCCTCTATCTACCCTGTCATTGAACGGGGCCGTTGGGGGCATCTTTCTATCCTTCAAGACTGTTTCAATTGCCACTTTGAGCTTTTGCGAGTCAAATCTGGGTTGTATCTTGCCTCGCGCTGTCACACGAGACCAATGCTTCTTGACCTTGAAGACAGACTCGGAAAGCTTGCAATAGGCTGCAATGCATTCGCCCACATCCATCTCCAGCCGGCCCAGCATGATGGCGATCAATCTGTCCTGTGTCAGCCTGAGATGTCTTTGAACAAATTGTCATTCTTACCCTCCAGTGCTCGTCCCTCCGATCAGGTCAAAGATTTCGCACGGTTTCTTTGTGGGCAGACCAGCCAACACCCGTTGATGGTTGAGATCTCTCATGATGTGATCCAAGATGTACAACGAAGACAAGCCCCGAACACCTCCTCCATCAAATGAGAGCATGCAGAGACCGCTCTCGTCGAGTGGATTTGGCCCACCAGCCATTGCAGTCTGCTCCATGACAACAATGAACACGCAGAAACAGACTTGGAAGCAAAAGATGTGATGATGAGTCCTCACAGGTTGAAGGGAGAGATGGAGGGGAAAGAGCGCTGAGAAGCGCATATGAGAACTTTTCAGACAAAGAACAGGCACCAATGCCATCTCTGGAGCTACGCAACAACTTGTGAGGCACGGCATGGGAAAATCGCAAGATGGGTGATCGTGAATGATAATGAGTACCTCTAAAGTGGTGATAACTATGTGGTCGGGAAGGTATTCTTTATCGGGCGTAAGCAGCGCTGGTGCCCCACAAGGCTTGACATAATTTGACTGTTGTTTGTCTACTAGTTCATGCGTGCGAGTTTCAGAAGCTTAGGTTCCGTTCGGTTCTCATTGGAAGGCTGATTTATCTTGACACCGTAATCTGAGAAGAGACGCCCGGTTCGCTTCCCTGTTCTTTGATTGGTCTCGCTCGCCATGCCTTTCATGTCTTCACCCAACAGTACCCAGGCAGGGCGTCTCATGTGGGATTTGTTAATTTCACTAAACCTTTTGAACAAAGGCCCCTGACACGGAAATGCCTTACACAACGTCAAGAACCTGCATCCTCTACGTGTCCCGGGCGACCATCATTTTTGATGACGTTTCTAGCACAGGGTATCAGCTTCAATGACAAAAAATATTGCCATCAACACAGAACGGCAGCAGACCCCAATCTTGACACACGGCAAATCATCGAACCCTGTTCCAGAAGTTCTGTTTCAGAACCAGGGGTGACTGGGGTATCGGTGATAGGCCAGTGGAAGCCGTCTACTCACCCTTGAACCAGATCATATTCCCCGCCACTACGATGTGGGAGTTCAAGAGGATGGTGGAGTGTCGGCAAAGCGACCTACCCCAGCTATGCATTTTACACGACCAACAAAATACGGATGACTTACAAGCTCTTTGGAAACTACAAGATACATCGCACAATACCTATGTAACACATCATAACAGGGGAGCTTATGTGATCGAAAAAGCACGAAGAATAAAGAGACCTTCATGGCGTGTTCCCTCCAGACTACATGTAAGATGATTAGGCTCGCCGAGTTCTCCTATATTTATTTCCCACTCCAGCATCGCTCCCCGTACAATCACACGAGTATAGGATCAAGTCGAACCAGCCAAATCCATGACTGCTACTATGCAAAGCCTCACAAATCCCTCCGGCAACCCAATTCTATTGGCCAGGAGGCATAGCCACTCACATTCTATTCTTACGGCCAGCCTCCACTACTCCCACATATCGGATCCCGTCGCCAGACAACTGCCGCTCTGACTCTGGCCTATACTACCAGGCTTTTCAAGCCACACATCTATTTCTTAGATTTACTCACCTGGAAGCTTCATTGGAGTCGCGGGAGACAGTACAAATGTGCAAGGTCTGTAGGCAGACGAGGCTTGGGAAGTTTGTTTCTTGAATCATCATGAGAACACGACTTTAGTGGTATGAGAGTGGTATTTGTCTAAACTGATATTTCTCAGTTCCAGGCCAACCCTCAATCAATTTTCATCCCAGTGTCCTCCACATGGCGTGCTGCACTATTGGTTCCCGGAAGAAACCCTCTACAGAAGGTCGACACAGTTGAGAAGGGCAACGTTGACAAGAGCGCCCTAAGCAGCCTGGTTAGTCTCGATTCTTTGAGGCATAGTCGGAAAGGGTCACTCACGGCAGGGGCGTCAGTCTTGCAGCAGTAGGCACTGCCATCGCAGTTCTTGCCGAGGACCTGAACGGCACAGTTGAGGAGGCCGTTGCAGCAGACCTGCTTGGTGTTGGCGTTGCAAGAACCGCCGGTGCTGCCGCCGCCGGTGCCAGTGGCACAAGCAGAAACAGCCATGGCGAGGGCAGAGGCGACGATGGTGAACTTCATTTTGGTGGTGTGGTAGGGGGTTGGAAGAAGGTTTGAAAGAAGAGCTGTTTTTGTTGAGTGTGTGGTTGTTGTTGTTTGTTGGTGATTGTGATGGTTGGAATGAGGGAGAGATCAGGGGAGAACAGCTCATCTTTATAGTCGGCGATGGCCTCCAAATCCATACGATGCCGCCTTAAGCGACGTTCCTGATTCCACGATCCTCTCCCTTTTCCTTGATGAGAGTGATCGTCATTACACAGGTGAACAGAATCCACCCGGGAAGCTGGAGATATCCAGGAGTAAATGCTCCCATTGGTTGCTTACTCCCAGCAAGGCGCTGCGGATGCAGACCCTCTATTAGACCCGCCCACGATGCATTGATCCCCCCGACATCCGCTCTGCGACGGAGAGAGCCCACTTCTCTAGCCAAGAAACAATAAACAAGTAGTAGGGAACATAACCAGGGTGTTGACTCGAGCGTCAGATGGCATGTAGCCCTGCCAAGGGAGATGCATAGTGAGTTATACGAATATTTGAGCCTCCTTGGGTATCAACGTCGTTCCTCGGATCCTCGGCCTTTCATTATTATCTACAAATATCAGATGATCAGGACTAAATTGACAGGTAAAAACTAGTCGCTGATCAGGGACATCGTCCACTACTAGATGGACATAGCATTCAGATTCACAACTAAGAGAGAATAGGGGGCCCACAAGCCAGCCACTTCCACCGGCAGTTATTGGGATTGCCACATAGCTACACGAGGCTGCATATACAGGTCACAAAAGCCAACGTAGAATTCAAGGAAATCCAGCAGCATGTGGATTCTCAGTGACATTCCTCAACAGGGCCTCTTCAGCCACACCGTCAGCAAAGGCCAGTTTTCTTCATCAAGTCGCCTCACCTCGCGCGCGGCAGATGAGAAAAAAAACGAGACCAGCGCGAGGGTCGGCCCGCGTCCTGCAAGCCACGGTTGCTTTGCAGGACGACTCGTGGCCTCTCATCCTCACCCCGGCTCCACTTGCAAGGGGATTAAACTTGGTTAAATATTGGGGATACGCGCGCGTACCTGGGAGAGGGGGCTAAAAAGTTTGTTTTCCTGCGGGCCGTCGGGGCCAGCTTTGCCAACTTTGGGGATCGTCAATAACTACCGACATGCCGGGCCAAAGCCAGCGGCCTAGTCACCTATCATGAATCTGCCTTCTACCGTCGGCTCCGCCAGCCGACAGATAGATGCTATATGATCGCCATTATACACGAATAAACTATCGTCTCATGTTCCCTTTAGGGCTGTAGAAGCTTGAATACGTCAATCAATGCCTCATCAGGGGACTCGCTGCCCAAATCGTGTAGCACGAGAGCAAATCAAGCCCCTTGGAGAACTCTCCACCACTCATACTCTCATGTCTGAGACATCATATGGTCTCCTTGAGACTGCAAGCACAGCTCGCCTCAACGTCCCAGCTTTCTGTGATTGATACTGCATCATACACGAGGATGGACAGCGCTGATATCGGTGGCCATTGGATGTCTCAGTAAGCCACCAACCCCGGCCGCAGAATCGATGACGAAAGTGCAGGATCGGTGCCGAGCCCGTTTTCTGGGCTGTTTCACTCGTTGGGAGGTTGCCCAATAGCTCAATTTTTGGGATGAAGCCAGGGGTAATACTATGACAGGCTTGAGTCGGGTGTCTCTGGCCGCGGCTACCAAGCAATGCAGAGATGTTAGGGCACAGGTAGATCATCGCCGATCGTACCCATCACGGTCTCCTTCTCGGTGACGTCTAACTCGACTATTATTCGACTCGTGCGTGGTCAGCCAGCCACGTCTGTTGAGGAGCACCTGATGAAGGACTCACGGGTCTTAACACACAAGAGGCTGGCACTATATCTGCATTATTCATTATTCTGCATAAGTCGGTTATGCAAAGTATTATGCATTTGTATTGCACAAGATAAAACACGAGATGGAAGAAGGAGAGAAATCTCGCCTACCCGGGAGTCAAATGAGAAACACAACTTATCGTCAACAGCGACAGTTGCGAATCGGTTGAAGATATCCCATAAACAGACCAATAGACTTGGTAGCTTAGATAAGTGTTTGTAGAGGTCAAAAGCATGGTGGTCCTAAACTGTGATCCAAAATTCAACTTTGGCTTTCAATCGGTAGCGAAGAGCACTCGTCCCGTCCACCTGGATCAAAGTCCGAAATCAATCCTTGACTCATGAACACGGGATAAGGCGATTGAACATCGACAATATCTATAGATCTGAAAGAAAGAAATTCTTCACTAAAAGTAACTCGATAAGACATTCTCCTGGTGACTCTCCTTCGCGATTCTGATGATCGTTGATCTCCGGTGTCCGAAAGAAAGGCGATGACATCATGCACTATTCGGGGCCGGGCCGGGGAGCAACGTGCTGATGCACGTGTTTCAGCACGTGTCTTTACGCGTGCCAGGTGTCTGTCTCACATCTTCTGGCAGTGTGACCCAGGAGTAATCACGTGAAACTCTGCATCGTCAGCAACCGACCTTTTTCTCCGTCCCCCACATGCCGTCCTCCATCCTCTGTTCTCTCCCCCACAAACCGCATCCTTCCGAGCTGGCCTCATGTCTGCCTTGGAGGAGCGAGCTTGAAGGCTGAGTAGATCTACAGCCTCTATCATGCGCTTCGTGTTGAGATTCTCATATATTGTGGTTTATTATCATCCTCAAGGATCGTTGTGCAGCCCCCAGGATTCACTTCCAATCTGGTCATCTACGAGCCCTCTCTTCTGGCCCTGACCCTGTCGACCAAGTCCCTCACAACCTGGGGATCATTCGGCCCATCGTGCGGCTTCGAGAAGTACGTGGGTTCAAAGGCCCTGCCGTTTAACAAGTCGGGATCAGCTCCGTGCTCCAACAGCCACTCTGCATACTCCCAATCCTGCCCTGCGCACGCAAACGCAAATGGTGTCAGATTTTCCATCCTCGCTGGTCGAGTCATGTCAAGGAAAGGAACCTTCTTGATGTCATTGACGCCTGCCATCCCGGAGGACAGAATGAACTCAGCCATGGGGTGGCGCACCGAAAAGGCTGTGGTACCAGCCCCTCCCTTCCATTTGACCAGCTCATGTAACGGCATTGCATACGCGGGATCCGCCCCGTGAGCCACAAGCAGGGCTACCAGTGTGGGGTCCCCCGTGAGAATGGCATGGCCGAGCACTTTGCTGGAAGCGCGACGGTTCAAGGGCTTCGGGTCTCCTATGCCGATGTTGTGGTGGCTGATCGTGGGATCTGCGCCGTGGGATAGCAGGAACGTAAGGAGAGGTCTGTTTCCGAGGCTTTCAATGATTGGACTGACCAAGCGATTGTTGTCCATCCAAGAGAATCCAGTCCACAGCTGATTTGGATGCCAGCCAAATTCGATAAACACCTCGAGTAGCGGTATTGAGACTTCTCTGCCTTTGTCAAAGAGGGTCACCACGTTTCCCCGACCACCCGTATACTTCGGCGGGTCGGTCCAAGATCGTAAAAAGACATTGTCGTGCAAGATTGTCCCATGCTTCAACAGGCAGAGTGCGACGTCGGGCTGATTTGCAAAGGAAGCTCTCTCAAGTCCGTATTGGCGCACTGCCTGGGTCGGGTCGCACTCCTCAAGATAGGATTCGACCTGGGGCAGCCAACCTTGTGCGCATGCAACGTAAAATCCCAATTCCCGCGGGTCTCTCTGGGTGATGACATTGGCGTTGGTGGAGTACTCGGGCCTGGGCAGGCGAGGCGGCAGTGCCGGAAGGTCATCATCGTCTTGAGATGCCAAGCCTGGCCGGGGCGGGTATGCGGCTATCTCCCTCTCCGCACGGCGCCGATTGGCATTTGCCAGCTCCATCCTGGCGATGTGCTCACGGATGTTGCCGAGGTCCTCCATGGTGGTGTTTCGGATAGACCAGTTGGGGGCGGAGACAGTGACAGGGCCTTCGGAGGTAATGTAGGGTTAATCTGGGTTGCAATTACGGAAGAGGAGCTGAAGAGGTAAAGGCAGTGTCTGCGTTGTCGGCCTTGTTAAATATGCGCATGCAGCGACTGGAGTGATGAGATGGGATGAACCCTGGAGATTTGGCACTGGCCATGTCGTCTCTGAAACGCCCTAAGCCCAAATTCACCCAGTACCTGCATATTCACATTCATGCAAGAATCACCTGTTCCCTGCTCAGAGTTTGCTGCGGTCCACAAGGATGGGGTCAGCACTGCCCTACAAACACTGTTTAATCTGTTCTGGGTATGCTTTGCGATATCAACTTGAAACATGTTCTTATTTCGAGATCATCAGTCTTTGATGAGAGGGGAGAATCTGCCTGTTCTTGTGAAACGCAACGAATCAGCTTGCACAACCCTCACGAACTGCCTACTTGCACAGCCTGTTTAACGTTTCCCGACATGCCATAGTTACTTTCAACTGGAAACATGATCTTCTCCGGAATGATCGGCGCGTTTAATGAAGTGTGGAGGATGCGCCCGCTGTCAATGGCACGTTGTCAAATGATCAGCCCCCGGACCGTCAAAGGGACTAGACCGAAACTTGGCTAAATGGGGCGACAACTAGAAACAACCCTTGAAGTTTCTAAATTCCTTCCATCGGCATTAACAAAAACCGTTGACGGGCATCCGCTCGCTTACAGCCGACGACAGTCCATAGAACAAGGTATGGCTCGGGCCGACCACTCACAAACAACCCAACGCTGCAACTGAATTGCTAGCGCCAACAACATAGCATGTTGGCAAAAGATTAAGGGTAAAAAAAAGCTGTGCCGGGAGGATTGAGCTGCAGGTCCAGCTCGTAAGAGGCCCTGGCCAAACCCTGTTCCCTCCGAGTTTAGAGCCAGTGCTTAACCTTGAGTTTGCACACAACCAACACGCCAATCAGCTGCTGATGATCTGTAGCAGCGTTCGTCCTGTAATGTAGCGGGTGCAGGATGCTCTGTGTAACTAATCCTCAGCTACTGCACAGGCGGCACTTGCTAATCTTAGACCTAGGTAGTGA